CCTAGATGCCTTCAATTTCCCAATTTATTGGCATGCCCAATATAGGCAACTTTTTTTAACAACGTGATGTTGCGCTCCAGTGGGACACATTTAAATAACATGATGTTGGTAATTAAATAATCGAAAGAAAAACATGTTTATTTATTATCCTAGTGGTTATAAGTATTTAGGCATGTCATGTGAAATAGGCCTCGTGAAATAATTGTCAAAAGTGCAAAATATAAGGCTTACGGTTGCATATAGGTCTAGATTATTTATGGGTTAATCATATCAAAACATTATTTGAACAACTCCAAAGCAATTGCATGTGGCGCAGGAACCACTGACTCTATTATCAAGACACCTGCTGGTAACTCTTAACTGGTTAGGACAGCACATGAGGTGTCCTAAATATCTGTCGACTATAGTGGACTCTTATGACTAAAGAGGCTTCATGCATAGCTTTTATTTTTACCCATAAGAGTAGGAGTAAAATGTCTCTATTCTCTTAAAATCTTCTACTCTGAGACGCTTTTTTGATATGGCCCCAGCTTTTAACAACATTCCTTGGTCCTTTTCTGAGATGCTTTGTGGAGACAGACCCTAGTCCTGGAACAGTTAATTCTGAATCAATACACATACATGAAAACCCCTAATTTACAAACAGCAGAACCATATTTTGTAAAGACACACTATCTAAATACAGGTCTCTCTTGCTAAATAGATTTGTGTATTATCTCAATGAGACAAACCTGTCTAAACAAAGATTACATGATCAATACACCCAAGAAGCTGTGTACAGTACACACCAGTCTCACTGTCCTGGAAGTCTGGCAGGGTGAGGTGGAGGCCGCTGGGTTTGCGGCTGAGTGGAAGTGGCTCTGGTGGGTGGATACTGCTGCTGTCATCCCCCTCACTGCAACACCACATGGCAGATAATCAATACACAGCAGAATCGTTCCCAGCTCCCACTCAGCAGCAGCCATTATAGTCATGCACCCAGTGCAGTAGACAAACACACTCACATGCATACACAGTCACTAATGCATGCACGCACAAACACACAAATGCATGCACACACTCACACATGAATCACAAACATATTATACACACAAGCGAAAGACACTCACATGTAACACACACATTAACCACACAAACAGAGAGACAGGCAGGCAGACATATAGACACAGACACACACTACACACACCCATACACACACCTGGTGCGTGTGAAGTCATAGCGGCTTTGCCATAGCTGCAGCATGTCTTGGCAGGTCTGGAGTGCTACGCCCGGCCCATACAGAGCCTCTTCCAGCTTCACCTTAGTGAACAGCAGGCTGAGTGACAAGGAGCACAGACAGACAGCAACATCAATACAGCATACAGTGGGGAAAAAAAGTACTTAGTCAGCCACCAATTGTGCAAGTTCTCCCACTTAAAAAGATGAGAGAGGCCTGTAATTTTCATCATAGGTACACGTCAACTATGACAGACAAATTGAGGAAAAAAAATCCAGAAAATCACATTGTAGGACTTTTTATGAATTTATTAGCAAATTATGGTGGAAAATAAGTATTTGGTCACCTACAAACAAGCAAGATTTCTGGCTCTCACAGACCTGTAACTTCTTCTTTAAGAGGCTCCTCTGTCCTCCACTCGTTACCTGTATTAATGGCACCTGTTTGAACTTGTTATCAGTATAAAAGACACCTGTCCACAACCTCAAACAGTCACACTCCAAACTCCACTATGGCCAAGACCAAAGAGCTGTCAAAGGACACCAGAAACAAAATTATAGACCTGCACCAGGCTGGGAAGACTGAATCTGCAATAGGTAAGCAGCTTGGTTTGAAGAAATCAACTGTGGGAGCAATTATTAGGAAATGGAAGACATACAAGACCACTGATAATCTCCCTCGATCTGGGGCTCCAAGCAAGATCTCACCCCGTGGGGTCAAAATGATCACAAGAACGGTAAGCAAAAATCCCAGGACCACACGGGGGGACCTAGTGAATGACCTGCAGAGAGCTGGGACCAAAGTAACAAAGCCTACCATCAGTAACACACTACACCGCCAGGGACTCAAATCCTGCAGTGCCAGACGTGTCCCCCTGCTATAGTCAGTACATGTCCAGGCCCGTCTGAAGTTTGCTAGAGTGCATTTGGATGATCCAGAAGAGGATTGGGAGAATGTCATATGGTCAGATGAAACCAAAATATAACTTTTTGGTAAAAACTAAACTCGTCGTGTTTGGAGGACAAAGAATGCTGAGTTGCATCCAAAGAACACCATACCTACTGTGAAGCATGGGGGTGGAAACATCATGCTTTGGGGCTGTTTTTCTGCAAAGGGACCAGGACGACTGATCCGTGTAAAGGAAAGAATGAATGGGGCCATGTATCGTAAGATTTTGAGTGAAAACCTCCTTCCATCAGCAAGGGCATTGAAGATGAAACGTGGCTGGGTCTTTCAACATGACAATGATCCCAAACACACCGCCCGGGCAACGAAGGAGTGGCTTCGTAAGAAGCATTTCAAGGTCCTGGAGTGGCCTAGCCAGTCTCCAGATCTCAACCCCATAGAAAATCTTTGGAGGGAGTTGAAAGTCCGTGTTGCCCAGCGACAGCCCCAAAACATCACTGCTCTAGAGGAGATCTGCATGGAGGAATGGGCCAAAATACCAGCAACAGTGTGTGAAAACCTTGTGAAGACTTACAGAAAACATTTGACCTGTGTCATTGCCAACAAAGGGTATATAACAAAGTATTGAGAAACTTTTGTTATTGACCAAATACTTATTTTCCACCATAATTTGCAAATAAATTCATTAAAAATCCTACAATGTGATTTTCTGGATTTCTTTTCTCAATTTGTCTGTCATAGTTGACATGTACCTATGATGAAAATTACAGGCCTCTCTCATCTTTTTAAGTGGGAGAACTTGCACAATTGGTGGCTGACTAAATTCTTTTTTCCCCCACTGTACATCAATTAGTACACCATTAGCACTTTACACATCGATACATACATTTGTGTGCTGTACCATATACTCAACACATCAGGAAAAACACACACCACCACCACAACACTGGCTCAATGGTGACACAACACTGCTGTGTTTGCTAGGTCAGCACATACTGTTGGCACATCAACCAGGACCTGATACTACCATCATGTAGGATAAGCATGTTTATCACTGTATGTTCATAGAGCTTTGGTACTCTGTTCTTCAACAGATGGGTTCTGTATGAGTCTGGAGGATTACAGTATGCTACAGTGGGAGGCTGAGCTGGGAAAGTCAGAGAAAGGTACAGTATGTGAAGGAAAAAACAGAGAGAGGGAGAGAGAAAGAGTCAGGGCCCTCACTCATCCGTGAGAGAGAGAGAGAGAGAGAGAGATAGAGAGAGGGACTTATAGCCCCAAAGCGGATGCCTGTCTGCCTCTGCCTGCTGTCTCTCTGTCTCTCTGTCTCTCTGTCTCTCTGTCTGTCTGTCTGTCTGTCTGTCTGTCTGTCTGTCTGTCTGTCTGTCTGTCTGTCTGTCTGTCTGTCTGTCTGTCTGTCTGTCTGTCTGTCTGTCTGTCTGTCTGTCTGTCTGTTCCTGTCTCCCTGCTCCCCCAACTGGAGCCTCTTCGAATTATTCCTCTCTCTGCACACCTCTTGCTGACAGAGAGCTTGGGTTGGGCACTATCCAGATTTTCATACCGTTCTGTACCATATCAGGGTATACAGTATTACCGGAAGTGTACACAGGGGGCGCTATTCTTTGACTCGCAAAACAAGTTAGGCAACAGGGATCTTGATTCAGGAGGGGATTGAATGTCTCTGCTGTAACCAAGAAGCTTGATCTTGACATATAGCCACTTAGCTAGCAAGTTAGCCAACCAAATGCATAGCTGGAGCCCTGAGCTGGATATAATTTATTTGACACAGCTTAGATTTCTTATAGTTATACTTAACTTATAGTTAGTGCTAAGAAGTGGCGTAGCACGCACCCCCGCGAGGCGGTGTTGCCCCCAACCCAAAATCATACCGTCAGTATTTAGAAATACCCTGGTATACGGTATATCGGCCAAGCCTAAAGATAGCACTGGTGATCAATAGCGCTGCCAGACGGCCGGCAGCAGGGGAAAAACTCTTGGTGAAATGTGGCTCATTACCGGTTAACGGGTGGGTGGACGGACTGGGGTGATGGAGGGAGGGATGGGGGATGGAGGGGCGAGAGGAGGGGAGGGAGATATGCACGCTGTATCATCTGACATGAGGAAGAAAACTGTTGCTGACGAACGTGGTGTTAAGGATACACCTGTCAGCGGGGCCAGTGGGGGCTGAGGGTTTCCTATTAGCACCCGTGCAGAGCAGCTTTTAGTAAAGGAGTGGTGTGCCGTAGTGTTAGTGGGCTTCCTACTGGGTGTGTGTGTGTGTGTGTGTTATGCAAGCAGACACACACACACACTCATCCTGTGACATGCCGCAAGATGAATCCAGAATCAAAGCATGGGATTAATCATTCTCTTTAGAACGAAACTGCAAGAGTACACTCTCTCTCTCTCGCCTCCCTTCCCCTCTCCATTTCCACAACCTCCTCAGCTCTCTCACTCTGTGCTAGAATCCCATTTCAATTGGAAATGCACGCCTGTCTACTAGCTGATAAAAAGACAGAGATAAAAAAGACTGCTACCTATGGAGGTGGCGTACGAGACGTGAGAAATGAATCGAGATTTACACACATATTTTTTGGATAACTCTCATAAATGTATCGTAGTTTAAATACAGTCTAGTAGGAGAACAAGAAAGACAGAAAGTGAAAGAGAAACCACAAGGACTCAGTGTGTGCTACAACAAGTTGACAGTCTGTGCTGTAGTGGTGCAGAGATCCTATGACTAGCCTCACACACACATGCACACGCGTGCACATGCATGTCATTGTGCACGTACGCTATTCAAACACTCCTTCACACATTCTCTCTTTCTCCATAACAACTGATGTTGACTGCTCCCTCTGCCAATATGACCTCATGGTTACCGGGGCGATGGGCATTCCTGGCGCAGGGAGGGCTGTGATTGGCTGAGCCTGGCAAAGAGCTCTTAAATGGGTCAAAGCAGTCAAATGTCTCTATGGAGAAGGAGTGTGTGTGTGCATATGTATATGAGGGAGAGAAATCACTAGAATATAAGCTTTAGATTATACAAATATATACAGTGGGGGAAAAAAAGTATTTAGTCAGCCACCAATTGTGCAAGTTCTCCCACTTAAAAAGATGAGAGAGGCCTGTAATTTTCATCATAGGTACACGTAAACTATGACAGACAAATTGAGTATTTTATTTCCAGAAAATCACATTGTAGGATTTTAAATTAATTAATTTGCAAATTATGGTGGAAAATAAGTATTTGGTCACCTACAAACAAGCAAGATTTCTGGCTCTCACAGACCTGTAACTTCTTCTTTAAGAGGCTCCTCTGTCCTCCACTCATTAACTGTATTAATGGCACCTGTTTGAACTTGTTATCAGTATAAAAGACACCTGTCCACAACCTCAAACAGTCACACTCCAAACTCCACTATGGCCAAGACCAAAGAGCTGTCAAAGGACACCAGAAACACAATTGTAGACCTGCACCAGGCTGGGAAGACTGAATCTGCAATAGGTAAGCAGCTTGGTTTGAAGAAATCAACTGTGGGAGCAATTATTAGGAAATGGAAGACATAAAAGACCACTGATAATCTCCCTCGATCTGGGGCTCCACGCAAGATCTCACCCCGTGGGGTCAAAATGATCACAAGAACGGTGAGCAAAAATCCCAGAACCACACGGGGGGACCTAGTGAATGACCTGCAGAGAGCTGGGACCAAAGTAACAAAGCCTACCATCAGTAACACACTACGCCGCCAGGGACTCAAATCCTGCAGTGCCAGACGTGTCCCCCTGCTTAAGCCAGTACATGTCCAGGCCCGTCTGAAGTTTGCTAGAGTGCATTTGGATGATCCAGAAGAGGATTGGGAGAATGTCATATGGTCAGATGAAACCAAAATAGGACTTTTTGGTAAAAACTCAACTCGTCGTGTTTGGAGGACAAAGAATGCTGAGTTGCATCCAAAGAACACGATACCTACTGTGAAGCATGGGGGTGGAAACATCATGCTTTGGGGCTGTTTTTCTGCAAAGGGACCAGGATGACTGATCCGTGTAAAGGAATGAATGAATGGGGCCATGTATCGTGAGATTTTGAGTGAAAACCTCCTTCCATCAGCAAGGGCATTGAAGATGAAACGTGGCTGGGTCTTTCAGCATGACAATGATCCCAAACACACCGCCCGGGCAACGAAGGAGTGGCTTTGTAAGAACCATTTTAAGTCCTGGAGTGGCCTAGCCAGTCTCCAGATCTCAACCCCATAGAAAATCTTTGGAGGGAGTTGAAAGTCTGTGTTGCCCAGCGACAGCCCCAAAACATCACTGCTCTAGAGGAGATCTGCATGGAGGAATGGGCCAAAATACCAGCAACAGTGTGTGAAAACCTTGTGAAGACTTACAGAAAACGTTTGACCTGTGTCATTGCCAACAAAGGGTATATAACAAAGTATTGAGAAACTTTTGTTATTGACCAAATACTTATTTTCCACCATAATTTGCAAATAAATTCATAACAAATCCTACAATGTGATTTTCTGGAATTGTTTTCCTAATTTTGTCTGTCATAGTTGACGTGTACCTATGATGAAAATTACAGGCCTCTTTCATCTTTTTCAGTGGGAGAACTTGCACAATTGGTGGCTGACTAAATACTTTTTTCCCCCACTGTACATATATATAGACATCTACATATATACACACATATATATATATATACAGTGGGGAGAACAAGTATTTGATACACTGCCGATTTTGCAGGTTTTCCTACTTACAAAGCATGTAGAGGTCTGTAATTTTTATCATAGGTACACTTCAACTGTGAGAGACGGAATCTAAAACAAAAATACAGAAAATCACATTGTATGATTTTTAAGTAATTAATTTGCATTTTATTGCATGACATAAGTATTTGATCACCTACCAACCAGTAAGAATTCCGGCTCTCACAGACCTGTTAGTTTTTCTTTAAGAAGCCCTCCTGTTCTCCACTCATTACCTGTATTAACTGCACCTGTTTGAACTCGTTACCTGTATAAAAGACACCTGTCCACACACGCAATCAAACAGACTCCAACCTCTCCACAATGGTCAAGACCAGAGAGCTGTGTAAGGACATCAGGGATAAAATTGTAGACCTGGCACAAGGCTGGGATGGGCTACAAGGACAATAGGCAAGCAGCTTGGTGAGAAGGCAACAAACTGTTGGCGCAATTATTAGAAAATGGGAAGAAGTTCAAGATGACGGTCAATCACCCTCGGTCTGGGGCTCCATGCAAGATCTCACCTTGTGGGGCATCAATGATCATGAGGAAGGTGAGGGATCAGCCCCAGAGCTACACGGCAGGACCTGGTCAATGACCTGAAGAGAGCTGGGACCACAGTCTCAAAGAAAAACCATTAGTAACACACTACGCCGTCATGGATTAAAATCCTGCAGCGCACGCAAGGGCCCCCTGCTCAAGCCAGCGCATGTCCAGGCCCGTCTGAAGTTTGCCAATGGACCATCTGGATGATCCAGAGGAGGAATGGGAGAAGGTCATGTGGTCTGATGAGACAAAAATAGAGCTTTTTGGCTTTTAAACTCTACTCGCCGTGTTTGGAGGAAGAAGAAGGATGAGTACAACCCCAAGAACACCATCCCAACGTGAAGCATGGAGGTGGAAACATCATTCTTTGGGGATGCTTTTCTGCAAAGGGGACAGGACGACTGCACCGTATTGAGGGGAGGATGGATGGGGCCATGTATCGCAAGATCTTGGCCAACAACCTCCTTCCCTCAGTAAGAGCATTGAAGATGGGTCGTGGCTGGGTCTTCCAGCATGACAACGACCCGAAACACACAGCCAGGGCAACTAGGGAGTGGCTCCGTAAGAAGCATCTCAAGGTCCTGGAGTGGCCTAGCCAGTCTCCAGACCTGAACCCAATAGAAAATCTTTGGAGGGAGCTGAAAGTCCGTATTGCCCAGCGACAGCCCCGAAACCTGAAGGATCTGGAGAAGGTCTGTATGGAGGAGTGGGCCAAAATCCCTGTGCAGTGTGTGCAAACCTGGTCAAGACCTACAGGAAACGTATGATCTCTGTAATTGCAAACAAAGGTTTCTGTACCAAATATTATGTTCTGCTTTTCTGATGTATCAAATACTTATGTCATGCAATAAAATGCAAATTAATTACTTAAAAATCATACAATGTGATTTTCTGGATCTCTCACAGTGAAGTGTACCTATGATAAAAATTACAGACCTCTGCATGCTTTGTAAGTAGGAAAACCTGCAAAATCGGCAGTGTATCAAATACTTGTTCTCCCCACTGTATTTCAAGGCCTACCTTCAAACTCAGTGCATCTTTGCTTGATATCATGGGAAAATCAAAAGAAATCAGCCAAGACCTCAGAAAAAAAATTGTAGACCTCCACAAGTCTGGTTCATCCTTGGGAGCAATTTCCAAACGCCTGAAGTTACCAAGTTCATCTGTACAAACAATAGTACGTAAGTATAAACACCATGGGGACCACGCAGCCGTCATTCCGCTCAGGAAGGAGACGCGTTCTGTCTCCTAGAGATGAACGTACTGTGGTGCGAAAAGTGCAAATCAATCCCAGAACAATAGCAAAGGACCTTGTGAAGATGCTGGAGGAAAACAGGTACAAAAGTATCTATATCCACAGTAAAACGAGTCCTATATCGACATAACCTGAAAGGCCGCTCAGCAAGGAAGAAGCCACTGCTCCAAAACCGCCATAAAAAAGCCAGACTACGGTTTACAACTGCACATGGGGACAAAGATCGTACTTTTTGGAGAAATGTCCTCTGGTCTGATAAAACAAAAATAGAACTGTTTGGCCATAATGACCATTGTTATGTTTAAAGGAAAAAGGGGGGTGCTTGCAACCCGAAGAACACCATCCCAACTGTGAAGCACGGGATGGCAGCATCATGCTGTGGGGGTGCTTTGCTGCAGGAGGGACTGATGCACTTCACAAAATAGATGGCATTATGAGGAAGGAAAATTATGTGGATATATTGAAGCAACATCTCAAGACATCAGTCAGGAAGTTAAAGCTTGGTCGCACATGGGTCTTCCAAATGGACAATGACCCCAAGCACACTTCCAAAGTTGTGGCAAAATGACTTAAGGACAACAAAGTCAAGGTATTGGAGTGGCCATCACAAAGCCCTGACCTCAATCCTATAGAAAATGTGTGGGCAGAACTGAAAAAGCATGTGCGAGCAAGGAGGCCTACAAACCTGACTCAGTTACACCAGCTATGTCAGGAGGAATGGGCCAAAATTCACCCAATTTATAGTGGGAAGCTTGTGGAAGGCTACCCAAAACATTTGACCCAAGTTAAACAATTTAAAGGCAATGCTACCAAATACTAATTGAGTGTATGTAAACTTCTGACCAACTGGGAATGTGATGAAAGAAATAAAAGCTGAAATAAATCATTCTCTCTACTATTATTCAGAAATGTCACATTCTTAAAATAAAGTGGTGATCCTAACTGACCTAAAACAGGGAATTTGTACTAGGATTAAATGTCAGGAATTGTGAAAAATTGAGTTTAAATGTATTTGGCTAAGGTGTGTGTAAACTTCCGACTTCAACTGTATACACCTGTTCTGAAAGGCCCCAGAGTCTGCAACACCACTAAGCAAGGGGCACCACCAAGCAAGCGGCACCATGAAGACCAAGGAGCACTCCAAACAGGTCAGGGACAAAGTTGTGGAGAAGAACAGAGTAGGGTTATAAAAAAATATCCCACCACAACTCACGGACCAGGCAAGGAGGGCATTAATCAGAGAGGCTACAAAGAGACCAAAGATAACCCTGAAGGAGCTGCAAAGCTCCACAGCGGTGAGCGGAGTATCTGTCCATAGGACCACTTTAAGCCGTACACTCCACAGAGCTGGGCTTGATGGAAGAGTGGCCAGAAAAAAGCCATTGCTTAAAGAAAGAAATAAGCAAACACGTTTGGTGTTCGCCAAAAGGAATGTGGGAGACTCCCCAAACATATGGAATAAGGTACTCTGGTCAGATTAGACTAAAATTGAGCTTTTTGGCCATCAAGGAAAACACTATGTCTGGCGCAAACCCACCACCTCTCATCAACCCGAGAACACCATCCCACAGTGAAGCATGGTGGTGGCAGCATCATGCTGTGGGATGTTTTTCATCGGCAGGGACTGAGAAACTGGTCAGAATTGAAGGAATGATGGATGGCGCTAAATACAAGAAAATTCTTGAGGGAAACCTGTTTCAGTCTTCCAGAGTTTTGAGACTGGGACGGAGGTTCACCTTCCAGCAGGACAATGACCCTAAGCATACTGCTAAAGCAACACTTGAGTGGTTTAAAGGGAAACATTTAAATGTCTTGGAATGGCCTAGTCAAATCCCAGACCTCAATCCAATTGAGAATCTGTGGAATGACTTAAAGATTGCTGTACACCAGCGGAACCCATCCAGCTTGAAAGAGCTGGAGCAGTTTTGCCTTGAAGAATGGGCAAAAATCCCAGTGGCTAGATGTGCCAAGCCTATAGAGACATACCCCAAGAGACTTGCAGCTGTAATTGCTGCAAAAGGTGGCTCTACCAAGTATTGACTTTGGGAATAGTTATGCACGCTCAAGTTCTGTTTTTTTTGTCTTATTTCTTGTTTGTTTCACAATAAAAAATATTTGGCCATTTTCAAAGTGGTAGGCATGTTGTGTAAATCAAATGATACAACCCCCCCAAAAAACAATTTTAATTCCAGGTTGTAAGGCAACAAAATAGGAAAAATGCCAAGGGGGTGAATACTTTCGGAAGCTACTGTAAATGTAACCATGTTTGATTCACTCTGTTCTTCTCCGACTCCATATCTCTTTATTTCCCTGTCGCTATATCACGTTCATTTACTGCTATCTATTTTTGCCGTACCCCTCTCTGCCTCTGACACCATAGAGACCAACACTGACCCCAAATGGTCGTGCTGTGAAGAACATGTGTATTAGATCATTATTGCAGACACTAGGGTGAGGTGGCACTGCGAAATAATATAAATAGCATGTGGCTATCAAATATGCATATTCTTCTTATAGCAAGGCAACACTGAGGCACGGGCCAATTGCATGGTTGACTAATGAGCATAATGCAGTGTGTCTGTGTTTTTTCATTACTGCATAATGTTGTCTGCTTCTCAAAGGGAGAGGGAGTACTGCAACTCCAACCTACATGGTAGAGTTGGGGTCAGTGCGGCAGTGTGAAAAGGGTAAGGGTGTGTGAGGGTAGTCTCCGTAGCGCAGTGCAGAAGACCGGTCTGGCACATCTAAATAAGGCCTTCAGTTGAGTGTGTGTGTCTCTGGTGAGGAGCTGAGACACCCTATCCCCATACAGAGGTCTGGGGCTGGGTGACACACACCGGAGTTAGTCTTATACACAGACACACACACAAACACACACACACACACACAGTTACATAATACAGGAGAGTGGTGTCCTACTTGAAGTTCTCAGGGTGATGGCTGAGCGCAAGTGTGAGGGTTTCGAGGGCGTGTTGGTGGTGTTTCTGGGCGCTAAGCAGAAGGGTCAGTAGGTGGAGGGAGTGTAGGTCGTCCCCACACAGAGACAGAGCCACCTGCAGGGGATCCATGGCAGCTGCCACCTGCACAAACACACATACCCACAGTGAATGGGGAGAGGAGAAACCGAAGGACAAGAGAGGCAGAAGATCCAAGATGGAGAAGCACTAAGATGAGCCGTAATGGTGTGTGTGTGTGTACTACAGTACATGTGTGTGTGGCAGTGCTGACTGACCTGGCGTACAAGAGCCAGCTGGAGAGACAGGTAGAGAGCAATCTTAGCGTCATGGGGGTCCAGTGCATGGGCTCTTCAGAGGAGAGAGGTCACACTCACTGACAGAATAACACACAAACTGTAGTGTATGCTAACTATAAAAACAAACACACAGGTTAAGATCAACCTAGACTGACAGAGTGGCCTTGTGGTTAGATTGTCCACCCTGAGATTGGAAGGTTGGGAGTTCGATCCCTGGCTGAGTCATACAAAAGACTGTAAAAATGGGACCCGATGCTTGGCACTCAGCATTAAGGAGATAGATTCGGGGTAAGGCCCTGCGATAGACTAGCGTCCTGTCCAGGGGGTGTACTTGTACATAAAGCTGCCTAACGCTACAGAAACAGGAGACCTGCTCCTATGAGCCGTTTTGACTTGCACAAGCCAAGCCTCATGGCAAGGCTACTTACTTAGACTGACAGAGAGAGGTTGGTACGTACTTATGCAGATTTTGCAGTGCTCGTCTGTTGAACCCATCCCGATCAACTTTCAGAGTTGCTGGAGAGAGATTAGGTACAGATGGACAAATCCATCAATGGAAAACAATACATTTTGGGCAACATTTTCACGGTAGATTATAATGAGGTTTACGGTATTTTTCGCACAGCACTACAGTCTTTTGCATCCTGAAAATATTATGTCACCCTTTGTGAGTAACAACTCATATTCATTCATACACAATTCACCTCTGAATTAAATACTGCACAGGTGATGGGGAAGGCAAATGAAGAAGGAAGTATGGACTATCAGGACAAGTGAGTTTAGTGGGTTCTCTAAGTGGTGGATTCCCGCTGTATCTGGACAAGGGACACTGTTTGTTACAGGAAACCAATCCTGCCTCTACAGCAGCTCATAGTGGTGTCTCTTACCATCAGAGGCCTGCAGACTGCAGCACAGCCCCACAGTCAGGTACGCACGGGGCAGAAACTCTGCAGCCTCCTCTCCCATGGACACCACACTCTGAGACAGGGCCTCAGCCTCCTCCAGCTATCACACACAGATACACACAAAGATAACAGACAGATGTGGTATGGGTCCCTAGAAGTACAGTGTTTAGTCTGCTGAAGTACTTAGTATGTAACCTTGTGAGCTCAACTGTGAGCTCAAGTGTTTAAAGGCATGTTCAGTTGGTTTGGATTGTCTTGTTTAGTGAGCTTTTGTATTTGTATAGTATAGTGCGTTTGTATAGTCTGAAGGGCAGTATCGTGGGCAGTGTGTGGTTAGTTTAAGGACACTGTAGATTCAGGTGAAGAACAGCGCACTAGAGTCCCCCGTCAAACAGCGCCAGACTGCAGTCAGTGTGGATGAGCTGGGATGAGGTAAAAGTGTGTCACTCAGTGTGAGGTATGGGGAGGGGTCGGTGACATGCCTTTGACACGGTGCCAGCAGAACAGCAGGACAGCTGCTTAGACTATCCATGACTATCCCCCCTCCCCTGCCTTACTCCTGTACCATAAGCCCTTTACTCTCTCTTTCTATCTCTCCCCTCCCTCATCCTCCTCCTCCTCTTTCTCTATCCCTCTCTTTCTCTGAATACGGACGGTATCAACAAAGTTCCATACAATAGAAAGAAAGAGAGCCATTATGTTATTATGGGGTATATGCATTTGAATGTAGTTCCTTTTTGACAGTATCCATTTTGATTTAAACAAAACATATTTGCCCATGGAAATGCCGAAACATGTAGTAGATAAAAGTGCTCCTGTATTCAAGAGCATGTTGTGTCTCTACCGATGGTGGGCACAACACAAAAAACTCAGATCATGTAAAATAGGGTCTAAGCTACAACATATGCGAATATGAAATAAATCGGAGTTCATGCGTTTTTAGATAACGTTTAACGTTTTTTTACGTTTCTTTTCAAGAAATGTTTAAAGTAGTTTGACAACCCTGTTTGTAAGCTTTTAAATGATGTCAATCTCAACAGTTTGTTTATCTTTTCCAGTGATGAAGAACAAAAATGTTTTGTTAAATTCTAACATAAGATTATTCAAATATGTAATACAAATCTCCAAACTTCTTTTTGTTTTGTTTTATAGCACTATTAAATGCTCCAGGGGTTATTTCGTTAGCATTTTAGCATGTTTTTCTAGATTTAGAATATAAAACAACATTTATAAAGCAAAGATTAAGCCTTAGGTCTAGCAAAGCAAATACTTCAATAGTTTAAGCATACTGTATGTTGTAGAACAGTGATGAAGATATTGTTTTCTGAATATAAAAAAAATATCTTAAGGGGGTTAGCCATCAATGACGGAGTTGACAAGCCACTGACGGAGTTGACAGCAGATACTCAAAACAGACATATTTTTGCCTCTAAAAATACAAGTTCAATACAAACATTTGTAAGATATGGAAAACGATTCATTTGAAAATGGCCTCACAAACGCAGACCACGTGTAACCACGCCAGCCCAGCACCTCCACCTGCGGGACCGCCTGAGACCAGCCACCTGGACAGCTACTGTGGATTTGCACAACTGAGGAATTTCTGCACAAACTGTCAGAAACCGTCTCAGGAAGCTCATCTGCGTGCTTGTCGTCCTCAACAGGGTCTTGACCTGACTGCAGTTTGGCATCGTAACCGACTTCATTGGGCAAATGCTCACCTTCGATGGCCACTGGCACACTGGAGAAGTGTGCTCTTCACAGATAAATCCCAGTTTCAACTGTACCGGGCAGATGGCAGACGTATGGCGTCGTGTGGGCGAGCGGTTTGCTGATGTCAATGTTGTGAACATTGAACCCTATGGTGGCGAGGGGGTTATTGTACAACGAACACAATTGTATTTTATCGATGGCAATTTGAATGCACAGAGATACCGTGACGAGATCCTGAGGCCCATTGTCCGCCACCACCACCTCACGTTTCAGCATGGTAATGCCCGGCCCCATGTTGCAAGGATCTGTACACAATTTCTGGAAGCTGAAAATGTCCCAGTTCTTCCATGGCCTGCATACTCACCAGACTTGTCACCCATTGAGCATGTTTGGGATGCTCTGGATCGATGTGTACGACAGTGTGTTCCAGTTCCCGCCAATATCCAGCAACTTCGCACAGCAATTGAAGAGGAGTGGGACAACATTCCATAGGCCACAATCAACAGCCTGATCAACTCTATGTGAAGGAGATGTGTCGCGCTGCATGAGGCAAATGGTGGTCACACCAGATACAGACTGGTTTTCTGATCCACGTCCCTACCTTTTTTTAAGGTATCTGTGACCAACAGATTCTAGTCATGTGAAATCCATAGATTAGGGCCTAATTTATTTATTTCAACTGACTGATTTCCTTATATGAACTGTAACTCAGTAAAATCTGTGAGATTGTTGCATGTTGCGTTTATATTTTTGTTCAGTGTAATAATATTGAAAGAATTTGTAAAATTCCCAAAACAAATATTTTCCCTTAGAAAATTCCCTAAATGTAATTTTTACAATCAAATAATGCAACAAAATCATATCTATTTATTTCAACTATAAAAAATAACATTCCCCAGTCGGACTATCAGGAATCCCTATTTGGGGACTCCACTCCTACGAATGACTCTAGTCCCAAAGTCCCAAAGTCCCAGACTTTATAGTGCAAATGTGTAGTTCCATGGTCGGTGAAAGGGTCAAGATGTGTGTCATTTGTTGCTCTTTGGTCCCATAGTGTCTTATTGTGATTAAGGCTGTAAGCTCTTTAGTCTCTCTGACAGATGTGCCATGCCACCATGCGTCTCCTAATCCTACACTACCCCCCTCCTGGATAAACAACAGGACTGGCAGTGCTGGGCTGGTTATCACAGTGGTGGGGTGGTGGAGGGGGGTGTTTGTGTGGAGCGCTATTATTTAATAATGGGTGCAGCGATTCTGGATGGTGACCCGTATGGATGGTAAGCACGGTATGTAGTGTAAAGGTATTGTGAAATAGAGTGTGTGTGTCATTCACCCAGTGCAGTTGGCCGATGCAGACCTTGGCGGCCAACATGGGCAGTGAGGGGTCCTCGGGTCTCATCCTGACACACTCCTTGAGCACAGACACGGCGCCCACACCCTGTAAAACACACAGACACACACACACGGTCACTGACACATCGAGAAAGGTCATCACACACACATACACTCATGCTTATGCACACTCTCATACTGTAGTTACAGAGACAAACTAGTCTAGTGATAGATCCCATGAGTATATATCACACACATATGTACCTTCCATATAGAATGACAAAGAAAGGGAGTCATACAGGTCATTCAACAATGCACTACACACACTCGCTCTCTCACACACACGGCTGGCCCTAAATAGAAGCAGATCTGACGACACTGAGGCGGCCCCCCCATCCTTATAGGGAGCAGCCTATTTCCAGAGTTCTCCATTGATCTGCAGTGTCACCTCATCCTGCAGGCAGCCAGGCAAGGGAGCAGATCAATTCTCCTGTTTCAATCGGAGGATTCCAGTCACACTACTCATCTCTCGTTATCACTCAGTCATTCTGGTTCATGCATTCTACTGACTAACGTACACACAACCTCACAGCAATATTTAGAGGATGAGTGATTACATATGCTTGCGAGCAGGTAGTAGTGCCAGATTAGAGTAGGATAGTGTGTGTGTGTGCGCGAGTGCATACATGTGTGGGGGAGTGTGTGAAAAGATATGATGATGAGCTCACCTTCCCACACGCCATGAGTGACAAGCCCAACTGGTGCCAGAGGTGGAACTCATTAAACGAGAACTTCATGGCCCGCTCCAGACACTGGAGGAAACACATACATGCACACACACACACACGCATGCACACGTACCCACACACACAGATGCATTTTATATATCAACACACGTTGTTGAAGGAGAGTGAGGTTGAAGGTTGAGGGTTAGATGTTAATTTGAAGAGCTCTAACTAGTGGCCCACGCCATGACACCTATGAGAGGAACGATGTTAGTCAGGCAGACAGACATAACCAGCCACTTATTGTTAGCAAGCCTAGTAATACCCTGCATGGCCCCACCCGTGAGAGGGTTCACCTGTTTGGCCTAGTGAGGCAGTGCTCACTCTCATTCACCTGGAGAAAAATGCTGCCAACCTGAATGTAAAGAGAGAGAACACTGGGTGAGAGAGAGAGAGAGAGAGAGAGAGAGAGAGAGAGAGAGAGAGAGAGAGAGAGAGAGAGAGAGAGAGAGAGAGAGAGATTCTCTGAGAGAAAGAGCGAGAGAGTCCCTAACCCTGCTTACGACACAACAAGGGCATTAAAAAGTTGTCAAAGGCAAAGCTTTCCCTTCACACAGTGTAGCTAGTTAGGTTGAAGTACTTTGGCCTCCAGTGTTTTTGAGGCAGGCTTACCTCAGACAGCATGGCATACTGCCCCCTCCTGGCCATGCCGATGCTCAGCAGGTCGTAGACAGAGGTGGCGTCCTGCAGACTGGTCTCCCGCTCCTCCTTATGGTCGGGCGCTCGGCTGATGACTGCGTCTCCGCTGGCCTATAGGGGGAGATCACATAGCTGTCTTCACCTGTATTGACAGGACAACTAAAAGCCAGCCTAACTCCTGTCAAGATGTTTTGAGATCAACGTAGAATCGACATACTGTACATTGTAGATGAAGGGGAGGGCACAAGAATATCCACAAGAATGACCAATCAACAAATGTCAAAGTAAGCATATCAATTTCGGTAATAGATATAGACTCAGGGGGGGAAAGAGAGAGGGAGGAAGAGAGAGAGATACTGTACTTCAAAGTGATGGATGGGAGGAATGGGAAAGGTGCAAGAGAAAAAGGAGAGGAACCAAGGAAGGTGGCTCTCTCAGGTATCTCTCACATGCAGGCACACGCACATGTACAAACGTCTACACACGTGTGTGCATACGTGTGCACGTACGTGCGCACACACACATTTGTGAGCGAGAGAGAGAGGGAGACAGAGAGAGCGCGAGAGGGAGGGAAGGAGGGCTGTCTCACCGTGGATTCTGTGATGAGCAGCAGGAGCACGGCCTCCTCAACCACGTCCTGGGGACAGAAGACGCTGCGGGGAGACACAGGAAATAGGCACAGGAAGTGACACGTCACGCAACTGCCCCACGCCTTCCTACTTCACCTGCTGTGGTGATGTAACACAACCCTCCGACCACCCCTACAGTATCTCAGTACGCCACTCTCTCAGGTGTCTCTCACGCGCACACACTCGTACATGCACAAATGTGTGCGCACGTACATGCACGCACGTGTGTACACGTTTGTACATGTGCTCGTCTTAACTGCCCTCTGACTGAGCCCATGACGTACCAACTAAAGATATAATTACAAGATACTATCAGGGCACTTCTAAACAAGTAACCCATGACAATGAATCTGTAATTGACTTCCCTGCGTGCATTCTCCATTTATGTTCAGGTGTTCTCACTCATGCATGTTGCCTGGGGTGTAGCGCTTGATCTCCTCTGAGTATAGTTCATACCAATAAGATCCTATAGTAGATAGTAGATATGGTGGAACAGCCAAAGGTAAGTCCATGACAAAGCCTTTAAAGTTCGACCAAAGGCAACATGAGTCCACAATCTGCATGGGAGATTTAGCTGAATAGAAATGGCACAAAGGTCTCAGTACGACATCTTGGAGCCTTGGGGAAAAGGAAGGCAATGGAAGTGTGAATGCAATGCACAGTATGTCTTCTTCTACAAATCAAATCAAATCAAATGTTATTTGTCACATACACGTGTTTTGCTGATGTTATTGCGGGTGTAGCGAAATGCTTGTGCTTCTAGCTCCGACAGTGCAGTAATATCTAACAAGTAATATCTAACAATTTCACAACATATAACCAATACACACAAATCTAAGTAAGGAATGAATTAAGAATATATACATATATGGACGAGCGATGTCAGAGCAGCATGGACTAAGATACAGTAGGATAGTATAGAATACAGTATATACAGTGGGGGAAAAAAGTATTTAGTCAGCCACCAATTGTGCAAGTTCTCCCACTTAAAAAGATGAGAGAGGCCTGTAATTTTCATCATAGGTACACGTCAACTATGACAGACAAATTGAGAAGAAAAAAATCCAGAAAATCACATTGTAGGATTTTTAATAAATGTATTTACAAATTATGGTGGAAAATAAGTATTTGGTCACCTACAAACAAGCAAGATTTCTGGCTCTCACAGACCTGTAACTTCTTCTTTAAGAGGCTCCTCTGTCCTCCACTCGTTACCTGTATTAATGGCACCTGTTTGAACTTGTTATCAGTATAAAAGACACCTGTCCACAACCTCAAACAGTCACACTCCAAACTCCACTATGGCCAAGACCAAAGAGCTGTCAAAGGACAAACAAAATTGTAGACCTGCACCAGGCTGGGAAGACTGAATCTGCAATAGGTAAGCAGCTTGGTTTGAAGAAATCAACTGTGGGAGCAATTATTAGGAAATGGAAGACATACAAGACCACTGATAATCTCCCTCGATCTGGGGCTCCACGCAAGATCTCACCCCGTGGGGTCAAAATGATCACAAGAACGGTGAGCAAAAATCCCAGAACCACACGGGGGGACCTAGTGAATGACCTGCAGAGAGCTGGGACCAAAGTAACAAAGCCTACCATCAGTAACACACTACGCCGCCAGGGACTCAAATCCTGCAGTGCCAGACGTGTCCCCCTGCTTAAGCCAGTACATGTCCAGGCCCGTCTGAAGTTTGCTAGAGTGCATTTGGATGATCCAGAAGAGGATTGGGAGAATGTCATATGGTCAGATGAAACCAAAATAGAACTTTTTGGTAAAAACTCAACTCGTCGTGTTTGGAGGACAAAGAATGCTGAGTTGCATCCAAAGAACACCATACCTACTGTGAAGCATGGGGGTGGAAACATCATGCTTTGGGGCTGTTTTTCTGCAAAGGGACCAGGACGACTGATCCGTGTAAAGGAAAGAATGAATGAGGGCCATGTATCGTGAGATTTTGAGTGAAAACCTCCTTCCATCAGCAAGGGCATTGAAGATGAAACGTGGCTGGGTCTTTCAGCATGACAATGATCCCAAACACACCGCCCGGGCAACGAAGGAGTGGCTTCGTAAGAAGCATTTCAAGGTCCTGGAGTGGCCTAGCCAGTCTCCAGATCTCAACCCCATAGAACATCTTTGGAGGGAGTTGAAAGTCTGTGTTGCCCAGCGAAAGCCCCACTACATCACTGCTCTAGAGGAGATCTGCATGGAGGAATGGGCCAAAATACCAGCAACAGTGTGTGAAAACCTTGTGAAGACTTACAGAAAATGTTTGACCTGTGTCATTGCCAACAAAGGGTATATAACAAAGTATTGAGAAACTTTTGTTATTGACCAAATACTTATTTTCCACCATAATTTGCAAATAAAGTCATTACAAATCCTACAATGTGATTTTCTGGATTTCTTTTAACCTATGATGAAAATGACAGGCCTCTCTCATCTTTTTAAGTGGGAGAACTTGCACAATTGGTGGCTGACTAAATACTTTTTTTCCCCCACTGTACATATGAGATGAGTAATGCAAGATATGTTAACATTATTAAAGTGGCTAGTGTTCCATTTCTTAAAGTGGCCAGTGATTTCTAGTCTATGTCTATAGGCAGCAGACTCTAATGTTCTAGTGATGGCTGTTTAACAGTCTGATGGTCTTGAGATAGAAGCTGTTTTTCAGTCTCTCGGTCCCAGCTTTGATGCACCTGTACTGACCTCGCCTTCTGGATGATAGCGGGGTGAACAGGCAGTGGCTCGGGTGTTTGTTGTCCTTGATTATCTTTTTGTCTTTCCTGTGACATCGGGTGCTGTAGGTGTCCTGGAGGGCGGGGTAGTTTGCCCCCGGTAATGCGTTGGTCAGACAGCACCACCCTCTGGAGAGCCTTGCGGTTGCGGGCGGTGCAGTTGCCAGTACCAGGCGGTGATACAGTAACCCGAGAGGTGGCTGAAGTATACCGTAGATTGCCAAGCACTATAGTAGTATGGATAAAGGCCTTGGCCACACAGCTCCTAGCCAATACGAGGTCAGAATGTGGTGAGATCAAGTTATGTTCCATGTGTGGGTTTTGTATGACTGGAATAGTGGACATCTGGGTGTCAAGGGAGGTCTGTTTTAGACCTTATTGATGCTCTGGGGCTATTTAAGCTCAATGGTTCAGTAGGATCACACACAACTCACTGTAGGGGAATGTGAGCTGATCTCTCAAGCCAGTGCTAATGTTGAATGGGGATTGAGTAATATCAGTGGATTCATGGAACTACACATGAATAGAAAAGAAAGAGAGGGGAGAGAAAGGGAGGGAGAGAGAGAGAGGAAGGAAGGAAGGAAAGAGGTAGAGAGGAGAGGTATAGACCTGTCAGTACTGTAGCGTTGGGGTGGTTTGGAAGAGGGGTACATGGCATCCTTTGGGCCGGCGTTCCCTTCTCTCTGCAGCCAGGCGGAGGGTGGGAGAGACATGGGGGCCCAGTAGCTGTCCTCACTCACCGAGCTCAGCAACACCTCAGCCAGCTTCCGCGCTGCAGCCTATGAGACACATTTAACATACCATAATGCCACAAAACATAACTAGGATATAACTAGGGCCAGGACTGTTTCCTGACTTAGTCAAGTCACGTTGTCGTAAACATAAAATACATATAGACAGTCAGTGACTCATCCTGCTAGCTATGTGACAATATGAGCCCTCCTCACCTTTCTGAAAGTCTGGGAGCCCCGAGACTCCACCACCCTGAGGACCCTGCGCAGCTGATGGGCTCCCTGGGCCAGGTGCCTGACAGACAGGCAGACAGACAGACAGATGGACAGACAGACAAGACAGAGAGATGGACAGACGGCCAGACAAATACACAGACAGGCAGACAGACACACACACACAGACGGACAGACAGACACGTCAATGAAACAAGTCAAACAGCTGAGCTGTCAGTGACAAAGGCCTCACAAAGTGAGAATGATGCTAACAGAATATGTAGCTGATTAGGACAACACAGATAACATGAAAAGCTTAGGGCTTTGTTCAGAGCTTAGGGCTTTGTTATTCAGTGCCAGCAGCACAGCATGCTGTTCCATATAAGTATAAATGAGTGTTGCTCAATCATGCCACTACAAGCAATAACTCTGTCCTATCTGAGGTGCAATATTGACACCTACTGGTCAAAAATAAAAGTGCCACTCGCTGTTGCTGAAATTATAATGCACTGCTCCAGAGAGAGGCGAAGCCTCCACCATCTTTGACTGCTCTACTGGGCCATTGACTCACCCCCTATGCAGCAGACACAGGTATGCACTCTGTAGAGCCGCCTGCTGGAAGAAGCCCAGGTCAATGTCCAGTGGTGGAGGGGCCAAACTGGTCTTAGCTGCTTTAGAACTAGGGGTGACCACCGTCTGCCAACACAACAGTAAAAACTTAAATTGGTAAAAAAGTAGTTTTGTGCTGCTTTTCATCATGAAATAACAAGTATTATCTGAAAATGTGGGTAGAAATAACCAGCAAAAACACACACACACAGACACACACACCTTATCGAGCTCTTGCAGGTAAACGAGAGCGGTGTCACAGGCCCTCAGGTAGCAGGAAAGACATTCCTCCTCTCTCTCAGACAGACGGACACGGGAGGCAGCTGACACTGCCTGGTGGTCCAGGGACAGACCTGGGAGAGAGGGAGAGATAGAGAGAGAGAGAAAAAGAGACAGACAGCGAGAGAGTGAGAGAGAGAATGAGGAAAGAAAGAAAGAAAGAAAGAAAGAAAGAAAGAAAGAAAGAAAGAAAGAAAGAAAGAAAGAAAGAAAGAAAGAAAGAAAGAAAGAAAGAAAGAAAGAAAGAAAGAAAGAAAGAAAGAAAGAAAGAAAGAAAGAAAGAAAGAAAGAAAGGAGATCAGAAACGTTTTTTTTCTGTAGTTAGGTGATGCATTTGACACTGAAAACAAATAATACTGTTGCTATTGTGACATTTCGAGACAGTCAGTAGATGGCTGGAGGGGGAACAAGGTTATTGGCATGAATAAATAGAGTGAGAGGAGACCTCCAGGACTGCAGGGCGGTAGGGAGGATAACATTTAAGACCAGATGTCAGCCTTAATCAAATAAGGAGCAGCTGCCAATAGACAAGACCTCATCTAACAAATATTCCTATCGCATAACATTCTCTAAACAATATCATGGAAACTTTGGAAAGACGTTGAGAAACTATGCAATGTCAAACCCTTTACATAGTTGAGTGATTCCCATTAGATCTTCTCTCTCTTAAGCACTTTCCTTTTAGCATATTGGCTTGACTCTAGTATTATTCTACTAACATTATTTATAGTCCATTATGGTTTATTAAATGATAGACCTCAACAAGGCTGCTTCATGAATTCTTCCCTTCAATTTAAGCAGCAGACCCTGTGATGACGTCAATGTGTCAATGGCCAGGAAGCAATGACTCCTTGAATGTAATGAATCTCATGATGATGATGAGTGATGCTTATCAAACACAATTACCCAGACATGGACCAGCAGTGTGCTGTGTGACAATGGACAATGCCCTCTTTTTCACTGTGTGCGTGCGCTTAATGATTAGTTGATTATTTTAATCAGCTGTGTAGTGCTAGGGCAAAAATCTAAACATGCACCCCCTGGGGTCGCGAGGAACGAGTTGGGGAAACACTGCCAAGGGCTTGATGATTAGTTGACAAGTTGAATCAGGTGTGCTTGTCTGACTCTACAAAATTGTTTTTACTGTTGGGGGTACTCGAGGACTGGAGTTGGTAAACACTGCCCTAGAGACAGCTTTATTGCATTACTTAGACTAAATTCTGAATAGGCTCCCATATTATTTGTAACCACTGCTGAAACCAGGAACTGATTTGGGTTGCGGAACAAACAGACACAAAGACACACACATAACATTATCTATCCTGTTGCCTAGTCACTTTACCCCTAACTACAGTTGAAGTCGGAAGTTTACATACACCAAATACATTTAAACTCAGTTTTTCACAATTCCTGACATTTAATCCTAGTAAAGATTCCCTGTCTTAGGTCAGTTAGGATCACCACTTTATTTTAAGAATGTGAAATGTCAGAATAATAGTAGAGAGAATGATTTATTTCAGCTTTTATTTATTTCACATTCTATTTTTATCCACATTCCCAGTGGGTCAGAAGTTTACATACACTCAATTAGTATTTGGTGGCATTGCCTTTAAATTGTTTAACTTGGGTCAAACGTTTCGGGTAGCCTTCCACAAGCTTCCCACAATAAGTTGGGTGAATTTTGGCCCATTCCTCCTGACAGAGCTGGTGTAACTGAGTCAGGTTTGTAGGTCTCCTTGCTTGCACACGCTTTTTCAGTTCTGCCAACAAATGTTCTATAGGATTGAGGTCAGGGCTTTCTGATGGCCACTACAATACCTTGACTTTGTTGTCCTTAAGGCATTTTGCCACAACTTTGTAAGTATGCTTGGGGTCAGTGTCCATTTGGAAGACCCATTTGCGACCAAGCTTTAACTTCCTGACTGATGTCTTGAGATGTTGCTTCAATATATCCACATAATTTTCCTTCCTCATGATGCCATCTATTTTGTGAAGTGCACCAGTCCCTCCTGGAGCAAAGCACCCCCACAGCATGATGCTGCCACCCCCGTGCTTCACGGTTGGGATGGTGTTCTTCGGCTTGCAAGCGTCCCCCTTTTTCCTCCAAACATAACGATGGTCATTATGGCCAAACAGTTCTATTTTTGTTTCATCAGACCAGAGGACATTTCTCCAAAAAGTAAGATCTTTGTCCCCATGTGCAGTTGCAAACCGTAGTCTGTCTTTTTTATGGCGGTTTTGGAGCAGTGGTTTCTTCCTTTCAGGTTATGTCGATATATGGCCTCGTTTTACTGTGGATATAGATACTTTTGTACCTGTTTCCTCCAGCATCTTCACAAGGTCCTTTGCTGTTGTTCTGGGATTGATTTGCACTTTTCGCACCAAAGTACGTTCATCTCTAGGAGACAGAACGCGTCTCCTTCCTGAGTGGTATGACGGCTGCGTGGTCCCATGGTGTTTATACTTGTGTACTATTGTTTGTACAGATGAACGTGGTACCTTCAGGCATTTGGAAATTGCTCCCAAGGATGAACCAGACTTGTGGAGGTCTACACCTTTTTTTCTGAGGTCTTGGCTGATTTCTTTTGATTTTCCCATGATGTCAAGCAAAGAGGCACTGAGTTTGAAGGTAGGCCTTGAAATACATCCACAGGTACACCTCCAAGTGACTCAAATGGTGTCAATTAGCCTATCAGACGCTTCTAAAGCCATGACATCATTTTCAGGAATTTCCCAAGCTGTTTAAAGGCACAGTCAACTTAGTGTATGTAAACTTCTGACTCACTGGAATTGTGATTCAGTGAATTATAAGTAAAATCTGTCTGTAAACAATTGTTGGAACATTAACTGTGTATGCAACAAGTAGATGTCCTAACCGACTTGCCAAAACTAATTTGTTAACAAACATTTGTGTATGGTTAAAAACGAGTTTTAAGTACTCAACCTAAGTGGTATGTAACTTCTGATTCAACTGTTTGTATTGTTAATTAACTAATTTCCTCGTATCCCTCCACATCGACTCGGTATTGGTACCCTATGTATATAGCCAAGCTACAGTATACCTCCCTCATATAAATGAATGAGAAAGAACACATGGTCAATGCCTCCTTCCTTTCACAGCCTAAAGGAGAAAACTCACCAGACCGATTGTCGGTCTGTACAGTAGGGGGCTGTTCGTTTGCAGACGGTGCGTCTGTTATAGGGACCACCGCTGGTGGGCATCATTTTTGTCCGTTTCTACATGAATAATCGGTTTGCACAAGGTTTGCAAATTACAGCTGGCACTCTGTTCAGAGGTGCTAAGCACTCTCGGCAGGCAGACCCTCGACAATCCTACTGGTCTGTTCATGCCTTTAGATAAAGATTTAGCTGATCTACATTCGACTTCTAAACCCATACAAGGTTATAGTCATCACAGGCCTATAATAACTCCTGCCATGGGGATTAGGAACTAGATCATTAGATCACAGTTATGCACAGTGCTGTTCAACTTTAGTGTTTTTCAGGGAAACGTGCCAGTCTGCAGGCTTTGGCTCTCTCTTTGTCTAGTTCATCGGAGAGGGAGTAGTGCCAGTATGCAAATCATATCTGAGCTCCATGTAATCATAACACTGTACAGATGGAGACTAAAACCAGAGGATACCTGATAGAAATCATAATTTGTAGCTCTGGGCTCGTATTCAAATAGCATCTCAGAGTAGGAGTGTTGATCTAGGATCAGTTTTGACGTTTGCATTATAATGAATAGATGCTTGATGAACACGGGCCATGGTCATTTGTTTATTTTGTGCATTGAATGTCCATTTTAGCATAGGTCATAATCAAGTAAAAATCTCAGGTCACACAGAATGTTTAGTCTGTCTACTAAACAAATTGCCATAACCAAATACCACACAGGTCAAACATGATGTGTTTTCCATATTCCATATCACCCAGTATTTGCTTATGAAAGGATTGGTACCTTTGATGACAAAGGCCTCTGCGAGCAGACGCAGGTGGTAGAGGGGCTGCTCATCCCCCGTCAGCTCGTCTATACCCACCCTTGCACACATGCCCTGGGCATCACGGTAACAGCCCTGGACATAGTGTATTTTGGCCATCAGGAGAAGAGCCTCGTTCAGGTGCCTGGGCTGTGTGGGGACAGACAGACAGACAGAGAGACACAACACGAGGGGTGTGAGTTGTTGACACCACAATGACAAACAGATAAGTGAACCAAGGGAAGGCACCCAGAACCATCATTTTATTGTTAAGACTGTTACGAGAGACTAAGTGAAGGGTGACAGAGAAAACAGGTAAATATGAAAATAATAGACTAATTGGAAACTTGGTGAGACAAGTTAACGAGATAGAAAGCTGAGTACAATCGGAGGAAGTGAGGTGTAGAAGGAGGTGACACAGAGGGGAGATGCTCAGACAGACCGCCAGCAGCCCCCTGCTCAGGATGGAGTTGAGGTAGCCCTTGGACCGGGACAGTTTGGGCTGGTTGATGTCCGTCAAAGGTGTGGCGTTGCGTAACAGACTCAGGTTGTCCTGTAGACACTCCTCCAGAAGGGCCTCGGCCAATAACAGCGTCCCGTAGTCATCTGGAGGAGGGCAGAGGGAATTGGGACAGAATTCAGAGTATTGGAAGGTTAAGTGGAGTGCAGAGTGGGAGTTCAGGGTCAGGGGTCAGCAGCTTTGGTAGCCCAAATAAACCCAGCCCAGTCCACCATAGCATAAGCCCCAGAGAGAAGGGAGAAAAAACACCAGTGGTGTCACTGGATGGCAATAAAAGTCACTTGTTTACACATTCTGGATTAGAGCCTTCCTGTTTGGTCCAGCTCTCACTTCTCTCACTCCTCTCCTGTCTCTGGTGGTGTGTTCTGACGCCAAGTCTGAGACTGGTGTTTATGTTCTGGCATCTCTGACATACTGTAGCCCATCATGTTTATGAGACTGTCCCAATCAAGGTTAATCACTGAAAGGGAGGATAAGGGCTGCAGAATGTATAATGTGATGTACAGTATGGTGTCTAAACACATAAAACAAATCATTCTGCTCTATAAAACATTAACTACAGTATAACAGCAATGTGTTACAAATCAGTTTCATGGGGTATGTTAATGAGGTGCATAACTTTTCTTAATTATTCAGGAGAAGAACAAATCTTCTACAGAGCATCTGAATAAAGTTACATTATTTCCAACACACGTGTTGTAATCTCAAAACATCCTGGTCAGAGACTGATTGTGATTTCACCCTTGTCTTGAATTGCAACAACTAGGGACAGTGTCAAGACAGTGGGCAAACTGTCACTGTCAAGACAGACTTTAACAGCAGACCAGCTAGGGATGACTTGAATTCTACACACTTCAGTCTAGAATAACACATTAAGAGTTATGTACACTTGCAAGCATGGTGAAAGGTGAAAACAGTTTCAGGTGGGCAGTAGGCACCCCATCCAGCCAATAATATGACATAAAATATTTGGTTATTGACACAATAACAGTGGCAAGCAGCAAGGTCGTGAGCCATGTCACCTTACCCCATGTTTACTTTAGCCAGGTGAGGTGAGTAGCTACATTTGCCTACCCACTGAGTGTTTGAGTAGTGTGTTTGAATACATAGGCCTACATACATTGAAAATAATAAAACGGACAAAGAATTACAGTGACAGTGACAATCAGTTAATACATGTTCATTACAATATGTTCTGTGTTTTGAACATCGCCCATTGAGAAGTGTACGGTATTGATGTATACAACGAACAGCTTCAGATATGCCCAAACTCCAGTAAAGTTGTCAACTTAATTGTTTGCAGAGTAGGGGAATTACATTAAGTTACTTGCAGAGTACAAAGTCCAACACATGCAGAACTATCGCCATCCCTGTCTGGACATGTGACAAAAACTTACTGAGAAAAAACAAACCTATACAAAAATCCAACAGGTAGTCACCACTCACCGTCTTCGTGAAATCGTGCGGCCACGAGTTGCTCTACGATAGGGGGTATCTTGTCCCACTGGCACTCTGCTCTGTAGCGGTCGATCTCCGCTTCCAGACGGTATTGCGAGAAGGATACCCTCCTTGATGCCATGCTCGCTCTAGATCCCGATCTGTCTCGGTGACCGTACTCCCCTGATACCCGGGGAGTAACTGCGCACTGACAAACAGACCATGAAAAAAGTGTAATGTAATCAATGAGCATGTGCTGCTGCCCTACCTTCCCTCATACAAATTCTGGGTGGACATGTCAAAATAATATTTTACCATAATGTATACTTAAATAGCACACACAACGAAAAAGAGTTGTAAACAAACTCAAGATACTATTGTACAGGTTCTTCAGTTTGAGGATGAGATAGGGAGATGTGTGTATACCCATTGTGTGAGTTAATATTTTTCAACTTTCGTAAACTCAGTTTAGTTTATTTTTCATAATAACTATCTATTTAATGAATTCGGTTATTATATAGCCAGTCGATAGTCGACTGTACCCTATTATGCTTGTATTTATTTAGCATACAATAGGCCAACACACCGTAAAGATTTTAGGAAACAATAATGCTTGTCTAAGTATTTTATTTGTTTCTTATTTTCTTTAGCCAACTTACGCTACAAACCATTGTAATACGGTAGAGGGAACACATTAGCTATCATATATGCCACCGTAAGGTGTTTGTATTGAAGTGCCTTTTGTCCTAGATAACCCGTCCTAGACTTTCCTTCAAAAGCTTTCCCTAACTAGATCAATTAGCCTACTGGGATTAGCGCTAATAGCCTACCAGAGTTCAGAGTTTATAGATAAAACAGTAAAATTCTGTGGATCTGAGACACACAGGTGGCAAGTTATTATTCATGATTTTACCGCAGTGTATGTCCAATCCCTCAAAAAAATCCCAAGTAGGCTACTGTATTTAAAAGGTCAATGATCAACTATTTTCATTGACCGACTTCAGGATTTAGTGCTATAGGTAGCTAAGCCTACACCTGCCATATGGTCTGCTCAGACAATTCAGCACTGCACGGTAACAAATGACTGACTGAGTATATGCCTCGATCACAACATTTTTTTGCGTTTTGGTACACCAGAAGTACATTAATTTCCAATGGAACGCTGCGTTTGCCTTGAAGCATTGCCTTGCAGAGCGTTCTGAGTGGTACATACATTGGAATGATCGAATATATGCATCAAATTGTATCCGTAGACGGGTTGACAGAAATGGTAGCTGAAGGTGAATGTTGAACTTTTGTTGCACATATATCCAGATGATGCTGCGTGCCATTTTGCGCAATGACACTGTAGGTGTGATCGAGGATTACACCTTTTGCAAATCCATTGGCAAGAATGTAACACTTTACATGTTACACAAACTGGATACAAAAATGTATACATTTCATTGGCGCCTGCCTTATTTGTGAGTAAGGGGCGGGTCGAACACATTAAGCAGTCCAATGGTGGTCGTACAGTAAAGTTCATTGAATGTTACAACATACACTATTTGTGAATGATTATCTTAATGACCATTTGTCAAGAATACAATACATTATTTCATATACCTTGACATGGTGGCAGAACACATTTTAGCAGCCAGTTTCGCAGGACGGCTGCTAAATTGTCTTTCACAAAAACATTACAAAACGACAGCTCGAGGCACTTAACTAGCTACACAGCAAACTAATGTTTAGGTCAAGTGCAGTACCTACGACTACAAGCTATCACAGGACAGTTTTCTATAGCTAATCCAACCTCAAATCTTCGGAAAATAAATTTGGCGGCTTCATTTTCCATATGAAAGGTTGACATTTGCTTGTCAGATGTGTTTACTTCTCAAATTCAACGAAACAACTACATTCATGTTCGTGTTTTGGACACTGACAGGTGTCTGGTTAGACTACTGCACGCCTTCAAATCTCTGACGCAAAATGCCAATATCCAATCAGAATTTAGCTGTCGTGTCCATGGGTTGAAAGGTGACTACGGCTCACAGCAATGCCCAAAAAGGGTGAAGACGTTAAAATACAAATAGTTAAAGCTAACGGTTCCAAATCTGTTTTTCAGCTGGTGAGTATGCATTTCGATCATTCACATCGCTGAAGATCCAGTTCATTATGGTGGTCTTGTTATCACCGTATTGATTATCTTGCTAAACTAACGGATTATCTTGAAAACAAAATAGATTTGTCTAAAGGTGCACTCTCATAGTATAATTAACGGTAGCCAGCCATGTGTCTGTGTCTACAACATCACTAGCTAATTTGCATACCGAACTGTACATAGAATAACATATCACTGAAACAATTGCAATTCCATTTTTTCAATCTTCTCATTCTTCTGCTATCTATGTGTTTCCAAAAATGTACATATGGGTTCATAGATGGAGCTCTTTCTCTCTCTCTCTCTCAGCTGGTCTGTCTGGCTGTCTGTGTAGTTACTGTACAGCCCAGAATGGTGTTAAGAGTAAGTGGCAGGAGGAGCGTGGTGTGGGGCTGGCTACTCCTGGTCTCCTGCTTTCTGCTGTCTGTCAGTTCAAATGAGCAGGCAGCCCACGAACACCCACCGGAGATTCACCATCCTAACCTGCACCTGGACAAGAACATGGTCCATGACAGAGAGTGAGTACTGGGTCGTGTTCATTAGGGTACACTTCTCCAAAATGCTTTGCAACAGAACAAAAGCAAACATTTCTTATTGGACAAGTACAGGTACCTTCCTTTTTCTCTCGGTTTCTGAGCATTTTCTTCCATTCTGTGTCTAAAGAACAGGCCACATAAATGTGAATGGGTAGAACAATTAACTTTGATAACTTTTGTTTGCAATACTATTGCCTGCCAAAAGAACGTTAGGAGCCAAATTCTGTTTACAAAACATTAGGAACACCTGCTCTTTCCATGACAGACTGACCAGGTGAATCCAGGTGAAAGCTATGATTGATCCCTTATTGATGTCACCTGTTAAATCCACTTCAATCAGTGTAGATGAAGGGGAGGAGACAGATTAAAGAAGGATTTTTAAGCCTTGAGACATGGATTGTGTATGTGTGCCATTCAGAGGGTGAATGGGCAAGACAAAATATTGAAGCGCCTTTGAACGGGGTAAGGTAGTAGGTCCCAGGTGCACCGGTTTGAGTGTGTCAAGAACTGCAACGCTGCTGGGTTTTTCACACTCAACAGTTTACCCTGTGTGTCAAGAATGGTCCACCACCCAAAAGACATCCAGTGACAGGTAGCCTGGCTGGTAGGAGCATTGGGCCAGTAACGGAAAGGTTGCTGGATCGAATCCCCGAGCTGACAAGGTAAAAAATCAGTCGTTCTGCCCCTGAGCAAGGCAGTTAACCTACTGTTCCCCGGGCGCCGATATCGATTAAGGCAGCCCCCTGCACCGCTCTGATTCAGAGGGGTTGGGTTAAATGCAGAAGACACATTTCAGTTGAATTCATTCAGTTGTACAACTGACAAGGCATCCCCCTTTCCCAACATTACATTTACGTCATTTAGCAGACGCTCTTATCCAGAGCGACTTACATTTTTCTTTTCTTTTTTCTCCATACTGGCCCCCCGTGGGAATCAAACCCACAACCCTGGCGTTGCAAACACCATGCTCTACCAACTGAGCTACATCCCTGCCGGCCATTCCCTCCCTTACCCTGGACAAATTGTGCGCCACCCCATGGGTCTCCCGGTCGCGGCCGGCTACGACAGAGCCTGGATTCGAACCAGGATCTCCAGGACCGCCTTAGACCACTGCGCCACTCGGGAGATAACATGACACGACTGTGGGAAGCATTGTAGTCAACATGGGCCAGCATCCCTGTGGAACACTTTCGACACCTTGTACTCCCTGCTCTGACAAATTTAGGCTGTTCTGAGGGCAAAGGGGGGTGCAACTAAATATTAGGAAGGTGTTCCAAATGTTTTGTATACTGAACAAAAATTTAACCCCACTGCCACAATGGGGCACTCTGTTGACATCAGCAAATCGTTCGCCCACACGACGCCATACACGTGGTCTGCGGTTGTGAGGCCGGTTGGAGGTATTGCCAAATTCGATAAAATGACTTGAGGTGGCTTATGGTAGAGAATTTAACATTCAATTCTCTGGCAACAACTCTGGTGGACATTCCTGCAATCAGCATGCCAATTGCAAGCTCCCTCAAAACATGAGACATTTGTGGCATTGTGTTGTGACAAAACTGCACATTTTAGAGTGGCCTTTTATTGTCCTCAGCACAAGGTGCACCTGTGTAATGATCATGCTGTTTAATCAGCTTCTTGATATTCCACACTTGTCAGGTGGATGGATTATCTTGGCAAAGGAGAAATGCTCACTAACAGGGATGTAAACTAATTTGTGCACAACATGGTTGAGAAGTTTTTGTGCATATGGAACATTTCTGGGATCTTTTATTTCAGCTCATTAAACATGGGACTAACACTTTACATGTTGCATTTTATATTTTTGTTCTATATACAGTACCAGTCAAAAGTTGTACATTGTAGAATAATAGTGAAGACATCAAAACGATATAAAATAACACATATAGAATCATGTAGTAACCAAAAAAGTGTTAAACAAATATCTTTGTTTCTTCAAAGTAGCCACCCTTTGCCTTGATGACAGCTTTGCACACTCTTGGCATTCTCTCAACCAGCTTCATGAGGTAGTCACCTGGAATGCATTTCAATTAACAGGTGTGCCTTGTTAAAAGTTAATTTGTGGGATTTCTTTCCTTCTTAATGCATTTGAGCCAATCAGTTGTGTTGTGACAAGTTAGGGGTGGTATACAGAAGACCAAGTCCATATTATGGCAAGAACAGCTCAAATAAGCAAAGAGAAACGACAGTCCATCATTACTTTAAGACATGAAGGTCAATCAATCCAGAACATTTCAAGAACTTTGAAACTTTATTCAAGTGCAGTCGAAAAAAACATCAAGCACTATGATGAAACTGGCTCTCATGAGGACCGCCACAGGCCTTCATGGTCGAATTTCTGCAAAGAAACCACTACTAAAGGACAATAATAAGAAGAAGAGACTTGCTTGGGCCAAGAAACACAACCAATGGACATTAGACTGGTGGAAATCTGTCCTTTGGTCTGATGAGTCAAAATTTGAGATTTTTGGTTCCAACCGCCATGTCTTTGTGAGACGCAGAGTACAGTCGTGGTCAAAAGTTTTGAGAATGACACAAGTATTGGTCTTCACAAAGTTTGCTGCTTCAGTGTTTCTAGATATTTTTGTCAGATGTTACTATGGTATACTGAAGTATAATTACAAGCATTCCATATGTGTCAGGCTTTTATTGACAATTACATTAAGTTTATGCAAAGAGTCAATATTTGCAGTGTTGACCCTTCTTTTTCAAGACCTCTGCAATCCGCCCTGGCATGCTGTCAATTAACTTCTGGGCCACATCCTGACTGATGGCAGCCCATTCTTGCATAATCAATGCTTGGAGTTTGTTAGAATTTGTGGGTTTTTGTTTGTCCACCCGCCTCTTGAGGATTGACCACAAATTCTCAATGGGATTAAGGTCTGGGGAGTTTCCTGTGCATGGACCCAACATTTCTATGTTTTGTTCCCCGAGCCACTTAGTTATCACTTTTGCCTTATGGCAAGGTGCTCCATCATGCTGGAAAAGGCATTGTTCGTCACCAAACTGTTCTTGGATGGTTGGGAGAAGTTGCTCTCGGAGGATGTGTTGGTATCATTCTTTATTCATGGCTGTGTTCTTAGGCAAAATTGTGAGTGAGCCCACTCCCTTGGCTGAGAAGCAACCCCACACATGAATGGTCTCAGGATGCTTTACTGTTGGCATGACACAGGACTGATGGTAGCGCTCACCTTATCTTCTCCGGACAAGCTTTTTTCTGAATGCCCCAAACAATCGGAAAGGGGATTCATGAGAGAAAATGACTTTACCCCAGTCCTCAGCAGTCCAATCCCTGTACCTTTAGCAGAATATCAGTCTGTCCCTGATGTTTTTCCTGGAGAGAAGTGGCTTCCTCGCTGCCCTTCTTGACACCAGGCCATCCTCCAAAAGTCTTCGCCTCACTGTGCGTGCAGATGCACTCACACCTGCCTGCTGCCATTCCTGAGCAAGCTCTGCACTGGTGGTGCCCCGATCCCGCAGCTGAATCAACTTTAGGAGACGGTCCTGGCGCTTGCTGGTCCTTTTTGGGCGCCCTGAAGCCTTCTTCACAACAATTGAACCTCTCTCCTTGAAGTTCTTGATGATCCGATAAATAGTTGATTTAGGTGCAATCTTACTAGCAGCAATATCCTTGCCTGTGAAGCAGGCAGTAGTCCCCTGTAGCTCAGTTGGTAGAGCATGGTGCTTGCAACGCCAGGGTTGTGGGTTTGTTTCCCATGGGGGGCCAGTATGAAAATGTATGCACTCACTAACTGTAAGTTGCTTTGGATAAGAGCGTCTGCTAAATTACTAAAATGTAAGCCTTTTTGTGCAAAGCAATGATGACGGCACGTGTTTCCTTGCAGGTAACCATGGTTAACAGAGGAAGAACAATGATTTCAAGCACCACCCTCCTTTTAAAGCTTCCAGTCTGTTATTATAACTCAATCAGCATGACAGAGTGATCTGCAGCCTTGTCCTCGTCAACACTCTCACCTGTGTTAACGAGAGAATCACTGACATGATGTCAGCTAGTCCTTTTGTGGCAGGGCTGAAATGCAGTGGAAATGTTTTTTGGGGATTAAGTTCATTTTCATGGCAAATCTGATCACTCTTCATAACATTCTGGAGTATATGCAAATTGCCATCATAAAAACTGAGGCAGCAGACTTTGTGAAAATTAATATTTGTGTAATTAGCTTAGTGGTTAAGAGCGTTGTGCAAGTAACCGAAAGGTCGCTGGTTCTAATCCCCGAGCTGACTAGGTGAAAAATCTGTCAATGTGCCCTTGAGCAAGGCACTTAACCCTAATTGCTGCTGTAAGTCGCTCTGGATAAGAGCGTCTGCTAAATGATTAAAATGTAAATGTAATTCTCAAAACTTTTGACCACGACTGTAGGTGAACGTATGACCTCTGCATGTGTGGTTCCCACCGTGAAGCATGGAGGAGGAGGTGTGATGGTGTGGGGGTGCTTTGCTGGTGACGCTGTCAGTGATTTATTTAGAATTCAAGGGACAATTAACCAGCATGGCTTCCACATCATTCTGCAGCGATACGCGTTTAGTGGAACTTTTTTTTTTTTTTCCAACAGGACAGTGACCTAAAACATACCTCTAGGCTGTGTAAGGGCTATTTGACCAAGAAGGAGAGTGATGGAGTGCTGCATCAGATGACCTGGCCTCCACAATTACCCGACCTCAACCCAATTGAGATGGTTTGGGATGAGTTGGACCGCAGAGTGAAGGAAAAGCAGCCAACAAGTGCTCAGCATATGTGGGAACTCCTTTAAGACTGTTGGAAAATAATTCCAGGTGAAGCTGGTTGAGAGAATGGCAAGAGTGTGCAAAGCTGTCATCAAGGCAAAGGGTGGCTACTTTGAAGAATCTCAAATATATTTTGATTTGTTTAACACTTTTTTTGGTTACTACATGATTCCATATGTGTTATTTCATAGTTTTGATGTCTTCACTATTATTCTACAATGTAGAAAATAGTTGAAATAAAGAAAAACCCTTGAATGAGTAGGTGTCCAAACTTTTGACTGGTACTGTATATCCAAAAGTATGTGGACACCAAATTAGTGGATTTGGCTTTTTCAGCCACACCCGTTCCTGACAGGTGTATAAAATCGAGCACACAGCCATGCAATCTCCATTGACAAATATTGGCAGTAGAATGGTCCGTACTGAAGAGCTCAGTGACTTTCAACGTGGCACCGTCATAGGATACCACCTTTCCAACAAGTCAGTTCGTAAAATTTCTGCCCTGCTAGAGCTATTCTGAAGTGGAAACGTCTAGGAGCAGCAAAGGCTCAGCCGGGAAGTGGTAGCCCACACAAACTCACAGAACGGGACCGGCGAGTGCTGAAGCGCGTAGAGCGTAAAAAATCGCCTGTCCTCGGTTGCAACACTCACTACCGAGTTCCAAACTGCCTCTGGAAGCAACATCCACACAATAACTGTTCGTCGGGAGCTTCATGAAATAGGTTTCCATGGCCGAGCATCCACACACAAGCCTAAGATCACAATGCCAGGCGTCGGCTGAAGTGGTGTAAATCTCGACACCATTGGACTCTGGAGCAGTGGAAACACGTTCTCTGGAGTGATGACTCACGCTTCACCATCTGGCAGTCTGATGGAAGAATCTGGGTTTGGCGGATGCCAGGAGAACGCTACCTGCCCCAATGCAAAATGCCAACTGTGAAGTTTGGTGGAGGAGGAATAATGGTTTTGGGCTGTTTTTCATGGTTTGGGCTAGGCCCCTTAGTTCCAGTGAAGGGAAGTAACGCTACAGCATTAAATGACATTCTAGACGATTCTGTGCTTCCAACTTTGTGGCAACAGTTTGGGGAAGGCCTTTTCCTGTTTCAGCATGACAATGCCCCTGTGCACAAAGCGAGGTCCATACAGAAATGGTTTGTTGAGATCGGTGTGGAAGAACTTGACTGGCCTGCGCAGAGCCCTGACCTCAACCCCATCGAACACCTTTGGGATTAATTGGATTGCCGACTGTGAGCCAGGCCTAATCGCCCAACATCAGCAAGTCCCGGCAGCAATGTTCTTTCTAGTGGAAAGCCTTCCCAAAAGAGTGGAGGCTGTTATAGCAGCAAAGGGGGGACCAACTCCATATTAATGCCCACCATTTTGGAATGAGATGTTCGACAAGCAGCTGTCCACATACTTATGGCCATGTACTGTATATTATCCAAACAGCTCACTACGGCACCGAACCCCTGAGCTCAAACAGTCTCTCAGCCGAAGTCTCCCAGACGCTTGAATTACAGCTTTACCTACCATTTGGCTGACAGTATATGACATGGTTAATGCACTGACCAGTGTCTCTCCTATGTCCTCTCTGTATAAGACACATCATGGAGCATCTGGAAGGTGTGATTGACAAGCCGGAGTCAGATATGTTGCCGCAGGAGCTACAGTTACACTACTTTAAGATGCATGACTATGATGGCAACAACTTACTGGATGGGCTGGAGTTGGCCACAGCCATCACTCATGTACACAAAGAGGTATGTGTAATTACAAATGATATTAACAGCCAATGATGCCATGTATGCATTTTATTCATCTATGCGCACACACACACACTCATGCATGTGTGTTTTTCCACCTTTCTGTAGGAAAGAGGAGAGGAAAGCCAGCCTATGAAAGAGGAAGACCTCATAAGCCTTATAGATGACGTTCTAAGGGACGATGACAAAAACAACGACGGGTACATAGACTACGCCGAGTTTGCCAAGTCCCTGGAGTAGAGGCGAGACGCTGCCTAACTGCTGAGGTCTGGCTCAGTGCACTGCCCACAACCACACTTTCCATCTCAAAGCAAAATATATTGTTTTAATTTACCTGTCTGTCACACTCTCTGTGGTGCTATCACTATCCTTTACCTATCCAGACAGCATACCAGGTGTGGACAAACTTTTTGTCTCGAGGGCCACATCGGGATTTTGAAATTCAACGGAGGGACGCACAGATTTTCTTTTGACCGATTGGTTTGTCAAAATCAATTTTCGGGCCAGTAAAAGGGCAGTAATTTGAAAATATATAGCACCATTATAATTTCTACATACTTTCTATCTCGTTTTAGACGTTCAAGTGTGGCCTGGTGTTTTATTTTACCCGAAATAATCCCCCCTCCCCCCTGAGAAAGAGAGAGAGAGTTAGAGAGGTGTGTATATACAGTGCCTTGCAAAAGTATTAATCTCCCTTGGCATTTTTCCTATTTTGTTGCATTGCAACCTGTAATTTAAATGGATTTTTATTTGGATTTCATGTAATGGACGTACACAAAATAGTCCAAATTGGTGAAGTGAAAAAAAAAAAAAAAACTTGTTTCAAAAAATTCTAAAACATAAATAACGGAAAAGTGGTGCGTGCATATGTACTCACCCCCGTTGCTATGAAGCCCCTAAATAACATCTGGTGCAACCAATTACCTTCAGAAGTCATATAATTAGTTAGATTGCACACAGGTGGACTATTTAAGTGTCACATGATCTGTCACATGAGCTCAGTGTATATATACACCTGTTCTGAAAGGTCCCAGAGTTTTTCATCGGCAGAGACTGGGAAACTGGTCAGAATTGAAGGAATGATGGATGGGCCTAAATACAGGGACATTCTTGAAGGAAACCTGTTTCAGTCTTCCAGAGATTTGAACTGGGACGGAGGTTCACCTTCCAGCAGGACAATGACCCTAAGCATACTGCAAAGCAAACACTCGAGTGGTTTAAGGGGAACATTTAAATGTCTTGGAATGGCCTAGTCAAAGCCCAGACCTCAATCCAATTGAGAATCTGTGGTATGACTTAAAGATTGCTGTACACCAGCGGAACCCATCCAACTTGAAGGAGCTGGAGCAGTTTTGCCTTGAAGTATGGGCATAAATCCCAGTGGCTAGATGTGCCAAGCTTATAGAGACATACCCCAAGATACTTGCAGCTGTAATTGCTGCAAAAGGTGGCTCTACAAAGTATTGACTTTTTGGGGGGTGAATAGTTATGCACGCTCAAGTTCTGTTTTTTTGTCTTGTTTGTTTCACAATAAAAAATATTTTGCATCTTCAAAGTGGTAGGCATGTTGTGTAAATCAAATGATACAATTCTCCAAAAATCCATTTTAATTCCAGGTTGTAAGGCAACAAAATAGGAAAAATGCCAAGGTGGGTGAATACTTTTGCAAGCCACTGTATATGACACACACAGTACCAGTCAAAATGTTTGACACATCTACTCAATTTTCTACATTGTACAATAATGGTGAAGACATCAAAACTATGAAATCACACATGGAATCATGTAGTAACCAAATAAGTGTTAAACAAATAAAAATATATTTTAGATTTTAGATTCTTCAAAGTAGCCACCCTTTGCCTTGATGACAGCTTTGCACACACTCTTGGCATTCTCTCAACCAGCTTCACTTGGAATGCAACAGTCTTGAAGGAGTTCCCACATATGCTGAGCACTTGGTGGCTGCTTTTCCTTCACTCTGCGGTCCAACTCATCCCAAACCATCTAAATTGGGTTGAGATCGGGTGATTGTGGAGGCCAGGTCATCTCTCCTTCTTGGTCAAATAGCCCTTACACAGCCTGGAGGTGTGTTAGGTCATTGTCCTGTTGAAAAACAAATGATAGTCCCACTAAGCGCAAACCAGATGGGATGGCGTAACGCTGCAGAATGCCGTGGTAGCCATGCTGGTTAAGTGTGCCTTGAATTCTAAATAAACCACTGACAGTGTCATAAGCAAAGCACCATCACACCTCCTCCTCCGTGCTTCACGGTGGGAACCACACATGCGGATATCATCCGTTCACCCCCACTGTGTCTCACAAAGCCACGGCTGTTGGAACCAAAAATCTTCAATTTGGACTCCAGACCTAAGGACAAATTTCCACCGGTCTAATGTCCATTGCTCGTGTTTCTTGGCCCAAGCAGGTCTCTTCTTCTTATTGGTGTCCTTTAGTAGTGGTAATTTGACAATGAAAGCCTGATTCACACAGTCCCCTCTGAACAGTTGATGTTGTGATGTGTCTGTGACTTGAACTCTGAAGCATTTATTTGGGCTGCAATTTCTAAGACTGGTAACTCTAATGAACTTATCCTCTGCAGCGGAGGTAACTCTTCCATTCCTGTGGCGGTCCTCATGAGAGCCAGTTTCATTATAGCGCTTGATGGTTTTTGCGACTGCACTTGAAGAAACTTTAAAAGTTCTTAATGTTCCGTATTGACTGACCTTCATGTCTTGAAGTAATGATGGACTGTCGTTTCTCTTTGCTTATTTGAGCTGTTCTTGCCATAATATGGACTTGGTCTTTTACCAAATAGGGATATCCTCTGTATACCCACTCTACCTGTCACAACACAACTGATCGGCTCAAACGCATTAAGAAGGAAAGAAATTCCACAAATTAACTTTTAAGAAGGCACACCTGTTAATTGAAATGCATTCCAGGTGACTACCTCATGAAGCTGGTTGAGAGAATGCCAAGTGTGCAAAGCTTTCATCAAGGCAAAGGGTGGCTATTTGAAGAATCTCAAATATAAAATATATTTTGATTTGTTTACAGTTTTTTTTCAAGTGCTTAAGCACAATTTTGAAAACAGGGCCCAGTTTTTCAAACCCCTTCACACAATTAGCACAACACTACACCAAAGTAGCACAACACCTCAGATCATTTGCAAAATGGAACACTTTTGTCAAAACTATACAATGTCTTATAAAAACCTTATTTTGTTGTCATAACATAAACCCAACCATCATATGGTCTGATTCTGTTTGAATCAGTTAAACACTCCTGTGCTCAACATAAAACACTTTTAGCATTTACACAGAGAAAGTGTAAAAATAAATTAACCAACACCACATGACACCAATTGTGCAGACTAATGAAAATATTTATTTATTTTCATGTACTCAAGTCAGTCAATACTGAACATTTCAACAAAACGTTTTCCAGTTTTCATACAGTATTACTGAACGTACCGTTTATACTGTAAGCTTACAGTAATACTGTAACAAATTACATATCCAGTTCAGTACCGAATAAAAAAGAAAAATAACCTAAACATCTCTCCGCCTAGCTGGATCTGGCCACAGGGACTCGTCAACATCACAGGCTATATTTTCATTTGCAAGGCAACGTGGGAAGAGTCTTTTGGAGTGACGAATCCACCCTTGTATGGATGCTGCTTCAATTTGATCATATGCTTCCACCATAGTTTGAATGAGGGCCATCTGGACATAGGGCCGGAGATCATAAACCTTCCACCGCCATGCTGAGCAGAACTCCTCGATGGGGTTTAGGAAGGGGGAGTATGGTGGAAGGTATTGAACTGTAAATTGTGGGTGTTGATGAAACCAGTTTTGGACCAGAGCAGAACGATTGAAAGCTACATTGTCCCAGACGACAATGTATTGCATCTGGTCCCTTTGGTTTGCTGCTGTGATAATATTGTGTAATCTGTCTAAAAATGTAAGAATGAGGTCAGTGTTGTAAGGACCCAAGTTGGAATGGCGGTGGAGGACCCTATTCTGTGTAATGGCAGCACAAAGGGTAATGTTACCCCCACGTTGCCCTGGTACATTGACAATAGCCCTGTGGCCATTGATGTTTCTTCCCCTTCTTCTCACTGTTGTCAGGTTAAATCCAGCCTCATCAATATATATCAACTCATGCGGGACTTCCTCCGCATCCATTTGCAAAACTCTGAAATACAGCAAAAGATCACATTGTGTAGATCAATTTACTGTAGGTCTGTTATACAGTAAAATTACATGTACAGTAAAAAGGTTATGTGTGCAGTACACAATACTACAGTCAGTGAACAAAACGTTCCACCACATATTCACGCCGCAGGCCTTTCACCCAGTCTGAATTTCTTTCAAATGGCACTTTATACAGTTGTTTCATCAGAACTTTGTTTTTTTAAGGATACGGGCTATTGTTGACAGAGAGACCTGTTGGACATTATTGAAAATTCGGTGATCATTGACAATATGGGCTTGAATTTCTCTAAGTCTGATTGCATTATTGGCCAAAACGAGGTTTATGATCTCTCTCTCTTGCTCCTGTGTGAATATGGGGCCCCTCCCTCCTTGGTGTTCTCGACGTTCAAACCTATGTTGGCCAAACAAAATACATGTAGCTTACTGTAAAATGATACAGGAATAGATACCAAAACTGTTGATATAGTACATGCAGTAAGCTATGTATTTTCTGTTGACAGAAGATAAGTTTCTCACCTGTGCTCTTGACGAAATGTCCGAACTATTGATGCCACCGTGTACCTGCTTAGGTTAGGCTGTACTCTCAGTCCAGCCTCCCTCGTTGTTAGTCCGTGGTTTATAACATGGTCCACAATTGTAGCACGAATATCGTTACACAGATTTGGTTGTCTTCTTCTTTGTGCATGTCCTACCCCTCCTCCAGGTCTCCCTCTCCCTCTGACACCGTCCATTTTTTTTGAAGACAGGTGAACTTACCTGTTGCCTTTTTATAGTGCTTAAACCTGATTGGTGTGTCTACAATTAAGCGCCAGTGTGTGTGCACACCTGGTGGCTGTGTTTAACCAATTGGTTCATGGGTGTGTTCATTTGAAAGCCTTTGCTTTAAATTGCAAGGAAATGACATCATGATACATTTGTGTCAAATGCATACAAGTGTGTTTAGTGTTTTGCAAATCACTGTGTGTAATGTTTTGCAAAAAGTGTGAAGCTGACAATGTGCTTACAGTTGTGCAAATCTAGGCCGGTGTTTTGCTCCCTGAGTGTAAGGTTTTGCTAATTGTGGGAAAGTTTTCATTTTAATGTGTAAGCAATTGAAAAAAACTAAGACTTTTTTTGGTTACTACATGATTCCATATGTGTTATTTCAATGTAAAAATAAAGAAAAACCCTTGAATGAGTAGGTGTGTCCAAACTTTTGACTGGTACTGTGTGTATATATATATATATATATATCAGTATATTATTAAATTATTACAGAAACTGCCAAATTTGCCTACTGTATGCTAACAACTAAATGAGTTCAGTCATGTTGGAATTTAATATTCACCTAAGAGCTGCTTTGCTGTATGAAATCTAAGATTATGGACCAAAATATCTTATATTTATGCATCCAATCAAGTTAGGCCATTAACGACAACTGCCTGTGGTCCTTAACTTTAAGTGTGGCCTTTTCTATTACTCATAGTGGGAATGTTACAGCTCAGCTGCAGCATACTGTACCACAGAATAAATATGAGAGTGTGGGAATGGCAAAGCAGGTTTGTAGGATTTGTCTGAACACAGAAACAGGCCATGAACAGGGTTGCCTACAGTTGGAACAAAACGGAAGACAGTGTTTTAAAACAGAGAAAGTAATACCTCGGCTAGTCCTATAAGTATGCGCATTCTTCTTTTCAAAATGCTTTCTTCCATTTGTTCGTACTGAATGTGACCCAGGTAACATAAAAGCCACGCGTGGTACAGGTCTGGTTCTGGTCAAACACGGGCAATAACAAATTAGTACTTTTTCTGCTGATCCACACATACATCCCTAACATGGTCTGTTATCTACCTACTTACTCTGCTTACAGCAGGGCTGATACTTGAGATGAACATAATCTGAATGTAATACAGGAGATGTTGTGCTGCGCTTTGTGATTTCTTCTTCACTGGATTCACTTGACTTGCAGCACAGTGAAATCTCTGGGTGATGCCAATACTCAAGGGATAACTTAATTGTACAGATGTGCTATTAGTAGAATGCATGGTTATGTTGCTATAAATGTTAGCTTCCTATTGAAGTGACAATGTTATGTGTAGATACACCACACTTTATTTTTTCCTAATGAGATGCATTGCTTTCAAACAGCAACATATCATTATAAGGTTACCAGGTCTTTATGTTATAAGGCCCAGGTCTATATTCAACCCATTTATAACATTTCCAATACTGAAACATTATTTGTTACAAAATAGTTATTTTAATCATTCAGTGTTGGTTGTTCAGTGAATCCAGTTATTTGACTAGAAATGTGTAATTGAAAGCTATAAAATGACATTAGTAGACAGATGCAACTGTGTTGTCTGTGTAATATGCTTTAATAAACAAATATGAAAGTATTTTCTGATGTCGTTTTATGTTGATTATGTCTCAGTGGCATTCGCACACTTAGTGCATGTTAGTGCAGTTCTCTCTGAGTTAATTGACACCTATTGTACTCACACCTTGTACCTTAAAAGATTGAATGGGATCTTAAGCATTTCGTAACATATTGTAGAAATTGGAATTCGTAACATATATGAATTGCAGAAAAGTAACATCATACGAAATGGATGACGTTGTACACAATTGTGCACAATTTCCGGGGACCAGTTTTGACTCATGAGCGCTATTTTCACAACTACTGGCTGAAATTATACAAAAACTTTCTACACTCTGAAAAGAAAAGGTTCCTGGAGTATCCTTTAGGGGTTCTTCAAATTGAAACTGTGGGGGAACCCCTATATGTTCTTCAATGAACCCCATTTAATGGATCCGCGAAGAAACTTTGGGGTTAATTTTTGTTGTTGTTATTATTATTAATGATAATAATATGCATAGCAATAACACTATTTTAGTTCTCAGTGTCTTGTGATTTTAGTGGCAAAATAGAATTTAAAAAATACAAATATGAGGTAAACTCCCAGCACTGCCCCAAGTCCAAGTCCTCTGGCATGTTGATGTTAATGTTGTGTTCTCCGTATCCATAGCCAGAATGATTTTGCAGTGCATGGTGATCGAACAGGTTTCCTGTTATATTCATCAGAGGTGTAGGGAGGGTGAAGTCTGTGAATCCCCAAAAATGTAATTATACAGATTAACAAAACATGCATACAACAGTATTCATACCTTGGCTTTTGTGGTGAATGTGAATGACAAACTGTTTTGATAATGGTTTTCATACACATACCTTGTCCATAATGTAGAGGCCGATGGGATTTTCATTGAAGAGGTAAGGGAGGAGGATGATAAATGCGATCTGCATAACATACCAATACCAACTGACATCCCTTTGTATGCCTCCTCATCTATATCTGCAGACAGACACAAAAGTGAGCAGTTCAGTCATCTGCACCCAATACAGCTAGCCTTCAACATATTGTTATAGCCTACATATTCTTACCTCTTTGTTGATTGATATCCATTGAATTGTGTCCATTTTCTGTTTTAGAAAGATAGATTGTATCATCATAAAACAATATCAATTTAGATCTTTACATTTTTCAGTAAAGTGCCTTCACCTGCTGTCCTTTCAAATTCAAATCCAAATGTTTCAGTTGGGCAGTTAGGTTCCTGCAAGAACCCCCACCAACTAAGGAGGTTCCTCGATGAACTTTGAGGATCTTAGAAGAACCCTTGTTGAACCCCTAATTTTTAGAGTGTAGCATCACTTTTAACATAAACAAACAAATCACTCCCAATACACACTACTTTATTTACTGTGAAAATACAAAATACATTGTTAGGAGAAAGATAGCATATATTTCAGCCAGTCTATTTAGATTACCCACAAATGTCTCAGTTAGGCTACCTTGAACTTTAAACCTGCTAGTCACAGAACATGTAACATGCAATGCATTCAATGTCAGGTATTCAAGGGGTGAAAGAGTTAAGTCGTTCTCACTAATCTATAAATTCTTCATGTTCCTTAATTCCTATCACTGCACAGATACAAAAAGCTGTATTTTAAAAATCTGATCTACAGTGCAATGAATAGGCTGTGTTTTTCGAAGAATTAACAGTTATCTACCTCCTGACATAGAAGTTGCCCTTTCTTTAGTTCCAGTGAGAGGCAGGGTCTAGAGCAGGCATGGAGGTCAGGGAGAACACAGGTGTGGCCAGGTTGTTGGGTGGGGCTCCAATGTTCCGGAGCGGGCTGTACCAGTCCTCATGCTGGCGGGGGGATTGTGGCTGTGGTGGGACTGTAGGGCAGTGACACTGGCTGGCTGAGCTTGTGTGGTGGGAGTGGGAGTAACCACCTTGGGGCAGCATAGAGGGGAACCGGGGGATATGGTGAGCCAGAGAGTGAGGGTAGTACTGACAGGTCATCCCTGTGGACTGAACACACATGCTGCCCAACAGTGCCCTGTGCCCTGGCATCATGCCCATTGGCAAGACCTTTTGAGACGCACGCTCCTGCCTGCGGTATTTGGCACGGCGATTTTGGAACCATACCTGTCAAATACAATAAGAAATAAGTCTTAACCAGGTTGTATTTGAGATTTTACCATTTTATAGGATAATGGATAAGTATGTCATGGCGTTTAATTTGTAAATGAAAACAGTCTGAGTTAGAAATTGCAAGTATTATCAACTCCCCCCCCCCCCACACAGGATAAAAAAATTGAATACAATCCGTGTGGACTGATAAATAGGCCTAGGCCCACTGACCTGTATGCGTGCTTCATTGAGTTTGGTGAGCCGCGCTAGTTCCTCACGGCAGTAGATGTCGGGGTAGTGGTTCTGTCCAAAGGCCATCTCCAGCTGGTCCAGCTGCTTGTGACTGAAGGTGGTGCGATGGCGCCTGCGCGCTGGGGATGGGTAGGCTCTCCCACGCCTGCTGAGGCCTATGGCCATACTGTCAAATGGGCCTTTTCTGGCTGGGCTGCCCACATCTGTAGTCGGGATAAGGATAGGTTGAATGTGTGAGGACTTTGAATGGATGCTGCAAAGGCATTCCCTCTGACTTTAATTAAACTGTACATTTTGGCTGAGTTTCTTGATTATACTCTAGTTCAGGTTTCATGATGTAGGCTGGCCAGGCCTATAGGCCTACTTGTGTTTCACTTTCACCATATAGGAAGTCGCCAAAATTTGTAAGGACCCATTTCACTGAGGACTGTCCTTCAAAAAAGAGGGATTACATGACTTTATCTTTTCCATCAATCTCGGGCAACCTAATAGCCACAAGGCTTTGCTGACCAAATTCAATCTCGTGAGAAAGAGATACCAGAGACGTGGGGATTTGACCAAGATTAAGTTAACAAAAGCTAACAATGACTAATTTGTCAAATTGGTTGACATAGTTGACTGGCTGTTCACATTACACTGGATGGTGAACAGACCGAATGAACAGGGAACTGGCCAAAATAGTATTTTATAGTATTTTATTAGTAACATTTTTGTTTGTATTCTTTCTCAATCTTTTTCATCAAAGTCCAGAAATATAATGGAATTTTACAAAAATTACTTAAATTTTTCAGTCCATTGTCAAAATATTTGAATGAAAACAAGGCTTATTAACTAAAACTACAGCATCAATTCATGATATTTACATTTAATTCAGGCAGATATAAATGAAAGGCCTACGACAATGTATAGTTTGTTATTAATAATATAACTTCATCATACAACAACATTTTGACTGAAAATACATTTTTGACTGAAAATAAAATGTTGACTGACCTGCGCTGGAGCTGACAGTGGTAATTTCAGAGTACATCTCTGCCCACTTCTGCTGACTCTTGACACCATCCGTGGGTGACTTTCCCTGGGCCATCTTCACGGGTGTGGTCTGTGATGCTACAGTCAGGAGCGCTTGGCATACATTGAGCTAGCTACCTGTTGCTTTTCCAACCGTGTCTAGCCAACATCACATGCCATTCCCACCCACCTCTACCTTTACCTGGCTTTACTCAAGTATCTTTCCGGTCACAAAAGGGCTACAGAATTTACTCAAGACATATGGAAAGTGGCAAAATGCTCACTGAACAACAAAAATTGAAACATTAAGCTTGTCTATGGAATTGAAACCATTGAAAACTGTTCATTGAAAATGCCTATTACATTTACATTTTTAGTCATTTAGCAGACGTTCTTATCCAGAGCGACTTACAGTTAGTGCATACATTTTCATACTGGCCCCCTGTGGGAAACGAACCCACAACCCTGGCGTTGCAAGCGCCATGCTCTACCAACTGAGCTACACAGGTCCTGTATCCTAATTTATCATGTTTATTCTTGATATGAAATCAAACTACAGATAATGCAGAACTGTATTAATACCATAATACCATGGTCTAACTTGGATTTCAAAAAGGGTGTGTGCATTCATTTCTTTACAATGTTCCTAAAGTGCAAATAGGACATAAAACAAACTGAGTGACATTTGCTGAGTGAAATTGCAATTGTGCCTATGTCCACTAGGAGGCGACACAACCTACAGCATCTGTCCATGAGCGTGTGCTGGGTAGACTGTGCTCCTTACAGAGTAGTCCCTCACCAGCACACTCTCATGTCCTATTTCGTCTTGATGTACAGTTTGTTTTAATCGCTTTGGTACTATTTTAACAAGTATGTGGTGAATTTTCAAAACTCTTAGTACAAAACTCCAAACTGGTAACACTCTTACATTCAAAACCTTTCATTGTGCATTCATTTTGTTTGTAGATATATTTTTTTTACCTTTATTTAACCAGGTAAGCCAGTTGAGAACAAGTTCTCATTTACAACTGCGACCTGGCCAAGATAAAGCAAAGCAGTACGATAAAAACAACAACACAGAGTTACATATGGGGTAAACAAAACATAAAGTCAAAAATACAACAGAAAATATATATACAGTGTGTGCGAATGTAGTAAGTTATGGAGGTAAGGCAATAAATAGGCCATAGTGCAAAATAGTTACAATTTCGTATTAACACTGGAATGATAGATGTGCAAAAGATGATGTGCAAATAGAGATACTGGGGTGCAAATTAGCAAAATAAATAACAATATGGGGATGAGGTAGTTGGGTGGGCTAATTTCAGAATGGCTGTGTACAGGTGCAGTGATCGGTAAGCTGCTCTGACAACTGACGCTTAAAGTTAGTGAGGGAGATAAGAGTCTCCAGCTTCAGATATTTTTGCAGTTCGTTCCAGTCATTGGCAGCAGAGAACTGGAAGGAATGGCGGCCAAAGGAGGTGGTGGCTTTGGGGATGACCAGTGAGATATACCTGCTGGAGCGCAGACTACGGGTGTGTGTTGCTATGGTGACCAGTGAGCTAAGATAAGACGGGGATTTGCCTAGCAGTGATTTATAGATGACCTGGAGCCAGTGGGTTTGGCGACTAATATGTAGTGAGGGCCAGCCAACAAGAGCGTACAGGTCACAATGGTGGGTAGTATATGGGGCTTTGGTGACAAAACGGATGGCACTGTGATAGACTACATCCAATTTGCTGAGTAGAGTGTTGGAGGCTATTTTGGAAATGACATCGCCAAAGTCAAGGATCGGTAGGATAGTCAGTTTTACGAGGGCATGTTTGGCAGCATGAGTGAAGGAGGCTTTGTTGCGAAATAGGAATAACTTTTGATTGGAGATGCTTAATGTGAGTCTGGAAGGAGAGTTTACAGTCTAACCAGACACCTAGGTATTTGTAGTTGTCCACATACTCTAGGTCAGACCCGCCGAGAGTAGTGATTCTAGTCGGGTGGGCGGGTGCAAGCAGCATTCGGTTGAAGAGCATGCATTTAGTTTTACTAGTGTTTAAGAGCAGTTGGAGGCTATGGAAGGAGTGATGTATGGCGTTGAAGCTCGTTTGGAGGTTTGTTAACACAGTGTCCGATGAAGGGCCAGATGTATACAAAATGGTGTCGTCCGCATAGAGGTGGATCCGAGTGTCACCAGCAGCAAGAGCGACATCATTGATATACACAGAGAATAGAGTCGGCCCGAGAATTGAACCCTGTGGCACCCCCATAGAGATGGCCAGAGGTCCAGACAACAGGCCCTCCGATTTGACACATTGAACTCTATCTGAGAAGTAGTTGGTGAACCAGGCGAGGCAGTCATTAGAGAAACCAAGGCTATTTAGTCTGCCAATAAGAATGCGGTGGTTGACAGAGTCGAAAGCCTTGGCCAGGTCGATGAAGACGGCTGCCCAGTACTGTCTTTTATCGATCGCGGTTATAATATCATTTAGGACCTTGAGCGTGGCTGAGGTGCACCCATGACCAGCTCGGAAACCAGATTGCTTAGCGGAGAAGGTACGGTGGGATTCGAAATGGTCGGTGATCTGTTTGTTAACTTGGCTTTCAAATACTTTCGAAAGGCAGGGCAGGATGGATATAGGTCTATAACAGTTTGGATCTAGAGTGTCACCCCCTTTGAAGAGGGGGATGACCGCAGCAGCTTTCCAAATAGGCTAGTAATAGGGGTTGCGACAATTTTGCCGGCTAATTTTAGAAAGAAAGGGTCCAGATTGTCTAGCCCGGCTGATTTGTAGGGGTCCAGATTTTTCAGCTCTTTCAGAACATCAGCTGTCTGAATTTGTGTGAGGGGTGGGGGGAGGGGGGGGGGGTGTATTTAGAGGGTAAATTTGTCAGGATGATATCTATGAGGGTGCCCATGTTTACAGATTTAGGGTTGTACCTGGTAGGTTCGTTGATAATTTGTGTGAGATTGAGGGCATCTAGTTTAGATTGTAGGTTGGCCGGGGTGTTAAGCATATCCCAGTTTAAGTCACCAAGCAGTACGAACTCTGAGGATAGATGGGGGGCAATCAGTTCACATATGGTGTCCATGGCACAGCTCTGGGCTGAGGGGGGTCTGTAGCAAGCGGCAACAGTGAGAGACTTATTTCTGTAAAGGTGGATTTTTAGAAGTAGAAGCTCAAACTGTTTGGGCACAGACCTGGATAGTACGATAGAGCTCTGCAGGCTATCTCTACGGTAGATTGCAACCCCACCCCCTTTGGCAGTTCTATCGAGACGGAAAATGTTGTAGTTGGGGGTGGACATTTCTGAATTTTTGGTGGCCTTCCTAAGCCACGATTCAGATACTGCTAGAACATCAGGGTTGGCGGAGTGTGCTAACGCAGTGAATAACTCAAACTTAGGGAGGAGGCTTCGGATGTTAACGTGCAAGAAACCAAGGCTTTTACGGTTACAGAAGTCAACAAATGATAACGCCTAGGGAGTAGGAGTGATACTGGGGGCTACAGGGCCTGGGTTAACCTCTACATCACCAGAGGAACAGAGGAGGAGTAGAAGAAGGATATGGCTAAAGGCTTTAAGTACTGGTCTTCTAGTGCATTGGGTACAGAGAAAAAAAAGGGGCAGGTTTCCGGGCATTGTAGAATAGATTCAGGGCATTATGTACAGAAAAGGATATGGAAGGATATGAGTACAGTGGAGGTAAACCTAAGCGTTGGGTAACGATGAAAGAGATAGCATCACTGGAGGCACCGATTGAGTCGGTCTCCGCGTGTATGGGGGGTGGGAGCTATCTATGGCAGGTTGAGCTGGGCTGGGGGATCTACAGTGAAATAGTACAATAAGAAATAACCGAAACAGCAATAAGCAAGGCATATTGACATGGGAGAGAGGCATAAAGCAATCACAGGTGTTATTCGAGAGAGCTAAGACAACAGCTGGTAATGGCGACAAAGTTTGGGCTGAGGCTAAACATAAACAGGATGCGGTACCGTATAAAGGAACAATTCAGCAGGCATCAGCTGTATAGCTGAGTTATCATAAGGTCCGGTGAACAGCAATAGGAGAGTTCGGAGGTAGTTCGGGGGCTGCTATAGCACTGGCGAGCAAGAGGCCACGGCTAGCGTGTGCTAGCGGGCCGGGGCTAGCAGATGGATCTTCGTGGTCGACGTCGTAACGGGAAGCCTGTTGTAACCACATCAGACGATCTTGTCGGCAGACCAGTCGTGTTGGATCGGCGGGGCTCCATGTCAACACTAGGAGGTCCCGTCCGGTTGACAGAGAGGTAGATAGCCGGGAGATGGGCCTGGCTCGCGGCTAGCTCAAGGCTGATTAGCCAACAACAACGTCCATTTGGCTGCAGCTAGCTAGTTGCGATGATCCAGTGGCTAGCTCAAGGCTAACTGGTGCTTGCTTCGGGGGCAATGGTGATTAGCCAAATAGCAACATCCATTCGGTTGCGGCTAGCTAGTTGCGATCCGGTGTTAATGTCCAGTGATTCAGTTATTCCGGCAGAAAATCAGATGTTCTGGGTGAAAACCGCTAACGATGGCTAATAGCAAGTAGCTAGTTAGCTGGCTAGCTGGTTTCAACTGGAGATTCTAGATAAAAGGTAAGTCAATAATAGAATCCGTTCCACATTGAGTGAGGCGGGTTGCAGGAAAGTATATTTTGTAGAAGGATGAAAAGTGTGATGGGAAATATGTACGAAAAATACAAAAAAATACAAAAAACAGGCTATATACACAGACACACCATAAAGACCACGACCGCACTGCTACGCCATCTTGGATTTCACCACACAACCATTGATCCGAAATATAAGTTTACTGTGAAATATAATGAGTACATTGGTTTAATCACCAAAATGCAACATAATGATATCTTCTCAATTTAGTTATTTTAACAACCAGTTAATCTATTAGCAAAAAATGTATGATACATGTTTCAAAATTGCCCTTTGAATGTAGTATGCTACAGTACTGTATATTACAGTATATTACACAGTTTTGACATTAGGCAATACAATTTCTATCCCATGTGTCAACAAATGTGTGACCATTGAAGACATCTTTCACAATG